AAGAGGAAATCTGAATATACTTACAGGCTGGATTCTGCTCCGCGCCGGACTGTGTTTGTGACATGAGGGGTATCTGTGAGAACTAAGCTAAAGATTGAATCACTGAGCCGTCAGTCGTAAATCTTCCTCAAGCAAACCCATGTTGCCGACCTGCGCATGCTGAAAACAGCTTCTCTGGCCAGGAAATGTGTATTCTTAAAAAGCCCCTCGGTTAATGACACCCCCAGATTCTACGATGGCTTGCGCTACCTCCAAACCACTATTTCAGGGAGAAAGGAATATGCTGTAAAAGTGGTTGTGTGTGTGTGTGCCAGTGCTTTTTGCGGGTAGTGGGGATAAATCAGCTTGGATAGGGGGTGTGTCGCCAATTGGTACAGGATTCCATCGCCCATATGCCTGAGAATCCTGGGTCAGCAATATGTACATAATCTTCTTTTGCAAGGCAGCCATTCCCGGCGACATTCCTACGCAGGAAAATGCTGAACCAAGTTGCGCAGGACGGACTTGATGTTCATGTCCGTGTCAGGTGGGCTAGTGGATGACAACTGCGCGCAAACCAAATGGCGAGCCAGTTGAAACCGAGAGTCAGCGACCCAGTGGCTAAGCCTACTCGTACATCCACGACATGAATGCTGGGTGACGTGCTTTTGTTCGGCATTGAACTCCGCCTTTGCGACATTCAATGGGATTTTTGCCCACTGGCCTTAGAAACAAAATGACGCCCGTTTGTTGGTTGGTGCGCACAGCAACCAGCCCAAACGGAAAAGTATCACTCGCGCTACGTGGCTCTTGGATAAGTGGCTTGATATTTCATTGTACCTTATGCGTACGTAGATGTGTTCATTGCGAAGTCAGTCTGTATCCCTGCCTGTCCGTCTCTCTGTCTATCTAATTCATCGAATCTAATCCAATATTCACACAAGTTATCCCCCAAAGTGGGGTATGTCTCGATTGGTCGAAGCCCAACCTTCTTGTGTTAAAGCAAAGCTTGAAACACATAATGTCACCTAACATCAGCCGCGTGCAGCACCAATAATCAACACTATACCTAGAAAATCGAAATGCCACGAAATAATAGCCTTTTTCGAAAAAGTATCCTTTTTCCATTGTCGGCCAATTTTTAGCCTTTCGGCCATTCTTCAACTGGCAGTTTAAGCAGGATTATTGCGTTGTTTTTTTGGCGGCTTGTGTCACCCGACTTTCCGCAATTCCGGCAAAACTTCCCGCAATTCCGGCGAATCGAATAAGAAACTTGAGTGCGTTCCGGCGGCTACGAGTATTACTGTCCTTGAGCCTCAGCGGTCTAATTCCGGCTGTTTTTGCTGATTCCGGCAAATTTATGTGACTTCGGCTGAAATTTGATGCATTTCAGATTCCGGCTGAAATTTCAGCCGAAAGAGTTTCTAGGTATGGCCTTTCAAGGTGTAAGGTGTGGAGCCTGCAAGTCGCGGGCACTGGAGGCAAAGGTAGTAGTCGCGGGCACTGGAGGCAAAGGTAGTAGTCTCCATTTATTGACAAGTGTAGGCATCCTGTCACGCAACAAAGAAGAACACAACCACAAGACTTTGAGACCTTAGGGGCATATATCTGAGAACTCCATCGGGCTAAAATAAACGCCGTTGTGATTTTGGACGGGAACTTCTGCCGCCGCAACAAAAGAACGCCGTTGAATTCAAGAAACGCCGGCAGTTTGCAAGAAACACCGTTGGCCCTTGGCTGATCCAAATCAGCCCAGGGCCTCGGCGCAAAGCAGTCTCAGAAGGTAGCAACATGAAGCGCTCAACACAACACAAAACTGACTGTCGCCCCCTTGCAAGCGGCTTTGGTCGAGTTGTGACATCCGGATCACTCCTTAGCGAAGATTTGCTGAAGAACCTCATCAAGAAAGCGCTTGCGATGCTTGGGCTCGAGTTCCGCCGTTGGGACGAGCGTTTTCGCCGTTGGGACGCGCGTTTCCGCCGTCGGGACGCGCGTTTCCGCCGTTGGGAAGTAGGTTTCCGCCGGTGCAAGTCAACACATCTGGTGGCAAAGCAAATGGGTATTCCAACAGGTCGCATAGTCGCGGTCCGAGGTGCGCAGATCTTGCAAAGCAGCCCACGTCAGGCAAAATGCCCACCAACCGCAAAAACGCCGTTGCAAATTGATTAAGGCCGCCACAACCCGCTCTCCTTCGAGTTCTGCCGCTGGATGGCAACAGGCGCCTTTTTGAGTCTCTGATTGCTTTGCCTTTTGGAGTGTATAGGTATGCCGAATGAAGCACCGATCGCTTCTCCTTCCAGCTTCGACATGGGGTGATGAAGTGGCTATCTTTGAGCAAAGCGAGCCGAGCAAAAGCAACCACTATTAGAGAATACAGCCTTTTGACTCGTTGGCAAAGAAGGCAAGCAACACATCCACGAAACCACGTGTCAAAATGTAACAGTTGAGGTAAAAGGGCGACAAACACGAACCCCGCAGCCGGCACCAAGAAAACTATTGGGCCTTCTGTGCACACATCGGGATCTGCAAATTTTGTTGTAAAACCAACAAAACCGAAAACAAGGGATGTCAAGCACGATTTTGCCCTCGCCTCAGGTGAGCCGTGGCTCTGAGTGTGCAGCTGCCACGCTGTGCGCAGGTCCATGCTCCGCAAAGGTTGGGGGCGGCGCTTGGGCGCCACACGGGCTGGTTGGTAGCTGCGAACGCCTGACGCTGCGAAGGGCCAAAAGAGTGGCGCCAGGTCTGGCTGAAAATTTGGGCGTTGTCCAATTCGAGCGATCCAAAGTTCGGCTAAACATTCGGAACGTCCTTTCTTTGGTGCTCGGCTAGCTGACTCTTTTAAAGAACAGCATTGGGACGCGCCCGGAACACCAACTACGTGATGTACCAAGCCCAAGTTGGTCCACTCACCTTTTGCACGTTAATCAACTTCAGTTTCCGCCGAGGCGGGCTTGAATAACTTGAGAGAGGGCGGGCCAAAAGCTGGCATCATTTGGCAGAAGTGCCAAAGCGCAACTTCAACGAAATGGGCATCGAGCCTACACGGAGCCTATGCGGAGCATACGCGGATGGAGGCCTTCTGTTTTGAAACAATCCAGGCCTGACCTTCTGAGCCATAGTTTACTGTGCTAACACCCAGCGATGAAAATCTCATGGCTACCGTGAACCATGTAGATGCTCTCCCAACAACTGCGAAAGCTTCAAACACATACACAGCTCTATGATTCGATGTATCGTTCCAGGCTTGCCCAATCTTGCCTACGCGGGCGCCTATGCAAGGAACACAGCAGTGATGCACCCGAAATGCCCACGCGAGCCTGTGCCCCCCACCTAAATTGCCTATGCGAACATGATGCAGTTCCATTTGTGTATAAACCCTTGATTCCGGAAAAGAAAAAAACACTGCCCATTTCGGAACGATGGCATGCACAAATTAACCAACATGCACTTTATTGTTATGAAACTAATATTCATCCACAACCATTCGCCGACGATCCCCGCAGTCAAAAAACGTGCTTTACACGTATGACAGTTAAAGACAAGCCGGCTGAGCTTCAGCAGCGCTGGTGTTTGCGTGTGTTTTTGGAGGTTAAAAAGCCTCGGTTTAAAGGGAAAGCAAACGCACAATCACCATTTTGGGGGGGCTCCCCCCTATTGATTTTTTGGGGTCCCCTTATTGTACTCATACCCGTTTGTTTGAGTTGATTGCTTCGCGCCCGCTCAACAGCTCAACGTGTTGCAGGTTTCACCTTTGGAAAGTAGGTTGGTGTTCAGCATTTGGCGGAAAGACAAATTGACAAGGTAAGATGACAAACGAGGTCTCAGCATGAGTATGGCAATTACAAATGGGACAGGCATACGTTTGAACAAGTTTTGGAAAGATACAACAAAAGAGAATGCAACATTGGCCCCGTGTAAACCACATTCAGTAACAGTTGCATTTGAGCGGGGCTTGCTGTTAACGCACTTCCGCCCTCAAAGTGCCTGCATGAGCCCCAACCCGGTGAAGAATCCGAGGGTCTAAATAAACAACTCAAACTACCCATCCCCTTCGGGATTCCTTTTGGGTGATTCGAATAATTATGGCTGCTGTTTAGCACCCACGCCCAATACCATTCGCCAAGCAGCTTGCATCGACTGACCGATCCTCGTCTTCAAAGGCCAGCCGCCGCTCGGGTTCCTGGGATCAATGCACCCAGGTCAGCACTGCTAACTGCAAATGTCAAAAAGGGCCTCACGCAAAGTTCAAGCTGCCCGAAAAAGAAATCGTCAATGTCTTTCTTGAATTGCGTTCACTTGTCTTGCCGGACCCTGAGACTCTCTCAGGAGTATTCTTGGAATTGACCCGGAAGTCTGACCATCGATTCTGGAATGGGATGCCAAGACCAACAGCTGCTGACACAAGTCTCACATGGAACACGGCTGAGCAAAACAATGAGGGGGTGAGTCTGCTTCAGGCAACAAGGATAAAGAGGTTGGCAAGCACTGCGAGTTCTGACTGGAGGAACATGCCCTGGCCTGTCATACTACGGCCTTCCGGACATCTCCGCTCAAAACAGTTCGATTGCATTACTTTGGGGGGGCAGCTCCGGTCATTGACGTTGACGATTCAAGCTCAAGCATCATGGGTCACAGGCACAGAATTCGCAACGGGTGTGCTATACTGAATTTACGCAGGATGTTACTTGCCACTCTGCCGCTAAGCCAAAGCAAGAGTGGTAATCGGCAGAAAGTTGAATCAAGGAAAGCGGCTTGGAACTCGCACCAACATCTGCGCTTAGCTTTCCAACAACCGCTCAAGGTCTCCTGTATGTAGTGCCAAGCCAGCGTGTTCCAGCTTCTTCCAATTTTCTGGAAGCCGTGAGTTGGGATGTGTGTGTGTGTTCTTGCGCACGCCACAACAACAAGTACAAACCTCCAGTGGGCACGGCAACACACGGCCCCTGTTCGACAGTTGATTTTAAAGGCACCACTGGTTTGTCATGGATCAAAAAGCACCCTTTGTTCCGATGAGCTTGACCACCCTCTGTTAATTAGCATGGCAGTTAATTTTACAGGCACCCTTGGTTTGGTAGTTGGTTTTCAAGGCACCCTTCGTGGCAGCTGATTTTAAAGGCTGCCTTTGTATGGCAGTTAGAGTCAAAGGCACCTTCTGCATGCACTTAATGTTCAAGCCACCCTTTGTATGGCAGTTGATGTCCAAGGCACTCGTTGTCTGGCAGTTAATTGTAAAGGCAGCCAGTGTAGAGCAGTTGAGTTCAAAGCACCCTTTGTTTGGTAGTTGCCCTCTGTATCGCAGTTGGATTTAAAGGCAGCCTCCCAATGGCCGTTCAGCTTACAGGATAGCCATTGCATGGCCGTTGATTGCAACCGCACCGTTTGTATGCAGTTGCTTTAAAGGAACACGACCTATATTCTAAAGGCACCCTTTGTATGGCAAATGAGTTTCAAAGCACCTATGCATGGCAGTCGCCTTTAAAGGCTGCAGGCACCCTTTGTCTGCCAGTTGGTTGTAAACGCATCCTTTGTATGGCTGCTGAAAGTAAAGGCGCCCTTTGTCTATGGCAGTTGACCTTACATGTTGCAGGTACCCTTTGTTTGCCAGTTAATTGTCAAGACATCCTTTGTATGGAAATTCAATTTAAAGGCAACCTTTGCACGGCAGCTTGTGTGGCAGTTGATTGTAAAGACATCCTTTCTATGCTAATTGATTTTTAAACAACCCTATGCATGGCAGTTGACTTCAAAGGTTGCAAGCACCCTTTGTCTGCCAGTTGTCTGGTTGATTGTAAAGGCATATTTGTATGACAGTGTATTTTAAAGCAACCCTTTGCATGGCAGCTGACTTTGAAGGCACCCTATGGCAGATGATTGAAATTTTAAAGGTTGCAGGCAGCCTTTGTCTGCAGTTGAGCAGTTGATTGTACAGGCACCCTTTTTTGCATGGCAGTTGATTTTAAAGGCACCCGGTCACCCAGTTGGCAGTTGACTTTAAAGGCACCCAGTGTATGGAAGTTGGCTTTCAAGGGACAACACAGCCCCCAAAACAGGAAACCAAAGCACAAATGAGCCGTTCTCCAGCCATGGCACCCCGAAGGCACTTCGCACCGAACTACGGCCCCGCGAAGGTGAGGGGCTGGCGCAAGCGATGCGCCAGGCAGGGTGCATCAAAAATGCCGAAAGCTCTACATTGCACAAGGTAGTGCATAGGATTGCAACCGGAGCTCTAAGATGTCTGACCTCGCCACTCACCCCAAAGAAACTAAATGTGGTGTTGCAGTTACGCGCAGTGCATACTTTTCTACTCCCCATTGTGTTTGTCCTAGTTCATATTTTGCTTACGGCTCCCTCGGCAAAGGATGGCCGACTAGAAAGCCGAAAATGGTGACCCGAGGAGGGCTCTTGGGGAAACACGCTTCCATGGACAAGAGCGACAACTTGTCCAAACAAAGTCAGTTCCTCGAACCATGCCACTGTACATTTCCTCCAGCTTCATTACCACCCTGTGCCCAAGTCATTGGGTACACAGTACACTGAGAAACGCATTCCCTTTCAGGTAACTGCAAAGTGCCCAGGCCCACGAAGCAAGGACAAAAGGCTGTGTGCCCCTTTGCCGCCCATGGCTGCCCCTTTGCGCCCTCCGCCTCGTCTGCACAGATGGTATGGGCACGGCTGAGAGCAACTCATCTGACCGGTTCTTGCTCGGCGATCTTGCTGACGCATCCTCCACCTTCGGTGGCACGGCCTTCCGTTCCATCAAGGTGGCAATCTGCTCAGAGAGCCGTGCCAAACGGAGGTCGATGCTCGCCATGAATCCTGGAGCAATCCATGGAAACACTGTCTGCAGGTGAGCACCACAAAAACCTTCGCATTTGACTCTCACAGAACTCGAACCGAACAGGAACGCAGCAACAACTAAACCACCATTCAACATACTGACCAGTGCGACTAAAGCAAACAAAAGGTTGCCTTAGGCTCGCCCTTCAAACACATCGCCAGCAGTTGCTGACAATTCATCAGTGATTCACATTTTTCGGGGTCTTTCGATTGGAATCGCGGGATTCCAAAAGCAGCTCAATGCGCCTGCAGTGTGCTTTCCAATCATCCCTTTGACGTGCGACAATCTTGGAAACCTCGCCAGGTACGTTGTCGTATCCCAAGTCCGTTTGCTGAAATCATGTAAGTAAAGAGAAGTAAAGGGCAACAGACTCAAAAAATGAGGCTTGGATACTTGGTTGCGCAAGGAGCCCGACCAAACCCCACAAACAACTCCCTGACCAACTGGAATTGGACTAATTGCAAGAGCCGCACACCCACACACCCACACACACACACGTTGCCTGCAAAACGGCTGGGCATGGGCAAACACGCTGATACACATGGGAAACAAGACTATCAGTGTGTCTGTGCCAGGCCTGGAAGTCCCGGCATATCTGGCGGGAGCATCGCCTCAAATGGAAACACGCTGACAGATCCCATGCGCATGCGTCAAGGACTACGGTGTCCCCGTTGTTCAGCGGAAAAAAACGAGCCCTTTTTGGGGATGACCCTTGTTTCCGCCGGGAATCCACCAAGCGAGCAGGAAAAAAGCATGCCAGTGGGCTTCTATCGGCAATATCTGCGTTTTGGTGTGCGTTCGGAAACCCCCCCTCCCAAGCACGTCTACGAGTTTGCCAGCAAAACAGCTGCTGCAGCACCTGTGCCCTCTCACTCAAGGAAGCCGAGGGCAAAAGGGCAAGGCTCTGCTTCACAAATGCAACTCCGACAGGAGAAAAGCAACGCGGACAGGCTAAGATCAGTGATTTCTTAGATTTCGGCTGGCATCCTTTGATCCAAAGAGGTCGCAAATCCACCAAAAGTGGTGGCAAAATCATAACACGCAACCACACCAAGACATGCATTTGAGCAGAAGGTGCGCCAACAAAGCTATAGGGATGTGGATACCAACACGACGAGCCTAGCAAGCACGCTACTTTCGCATTAGATTCCGGCACGGCCAGCTTCTTATCAACGCTACACTCACCTCCTGTACCCAAACCAGACAAGAATAAATTGTGCTGTTGTGGAAACTGTGTGTGTGTGTGTGTTCTGCCTGAATCACTGAATTGCGCATGAATCTGGTGGCACGCACGGAGCAGGTCCGGTGATAAGGGACCTGTTTGCTTGACTGGCAAAAATCGGCACAGCCACATGTAACGAGCGTTTGCAAGGCCATCCGCTTCAGCGGCTATTTGCTATGACAGGGCCAATCTACACTGGATGTTCAACCGCGAGTCAAAGGAGGCTGCGTAAGCATATACCTGCACAAGACATATCTATCTAAGTCGCTGGGTTCCCGGACTTGGTAGCTTTTGGGAAGGCCACTTTGGTGCAAACAAGCAGCTTGTTTGTGGGAGCCAATCAACTCTAGTGATTGGAGCTTCGAAGAAGCATCACTACATGTGCCATTCAACATCCCGAAGAAATGCTCAAATGGCTGTGGGTCAAAAATAGGTACCCCAACTGGAACCCTAGTAAGTGGACACATGGACCAAAACCTGCGGTTTTCCTGGTGGTTTAGTTTTGACCCATACCCAAATGGCTTTTCACGGCTACTTCCGCTGCGCCCTTGCAAGGCACGGGCTCCGCCGGCTGCCCAGGGATGGCCATGGCTGCACTTCGCTCGCGCTCTCGGGGTGCACTGAGTTGGTTGGCCTGAAGAAGCATGTCCCAAAGTCATGCAGAGTGATCGGCCAGGACAAAGTCCGGAACCTGCGAAATGACCTACAAATGCCGACAAGGGGGGTGCCCACATGAAAAAGCTTTTCGGGGGCCGAAGGGGGCCATTTTCTGTCTGGGTGTCCCAAGGCAGACGGGGCAAGCTGAGTCGAGAAACCCACCACTTCCAAGGGTACTGAATGTTATTTTGTTTCAACCCCCACTTCTTGCGATCTGGCTGAAAACTGAAAGATTGCCTTGGACAAAGCAAACCTTGCAATGCACTGTCACTACCTGCAATGTTGCAGAATCAACCGTATCTACTTTGTGCCTGGCACAGCCCACTTCCAACACTGCTTCCATTAAACTTTGCTGCATTCGCGTAAGAAACCCCTGATCAGTGGCCCATTCACTGCAAGGCTCCATGAACAGACGGAACCGGCAAATGAATTAGCAACGGCGTTGTGTTGTTTCGAAAGATTTGGCGTGGCTTGCATGCACTCTGTATTTGTCTCGTTCGCGCCCGCAATCAGCAACCCTTGTCCTGCATCATGAAGCCAATGTGGGGGTATGGAAACGACTCGGCATATCCAAGCTGGTGTGCCCTGAAAGCAAGCGCAGTCAAATCCTGCACTTGACAAGATTGAAACACGGCACACCTTCCTGTGTATGCGTTTTGATTGAATCTGGAGAACAACTTGCTCGACCTCCAGAATAGGATGCAAGCATGGCGGTAGATTCTCAGGGCTAGCTGAGACCCCTTGATTATTGTACCACAGATCCACCCTGAAAGGTGTCGTGCCCATGTGCCGATTCAACCAAAACTCCAAGAGTTTGAAAACGAGTGTGGCCATCAGCACGCAAGCACAACCTTTTGGGCATGTTCCTGTATCTGGCTCAAAGTAAACCAGCTGCTGGAGCCCTCAAGCACCGAGTGGCACCATGGATTCCGATGAGCCTCGTCGGTCCCATTGAAACATGCACAATCCACAGAGCTATAGTGCTCCCAAACCAGGATCTAGTATCTAGTGAGGTTGCTTGTTGGTAGCAGCAGCAGCTCTCCCTCGAAAAAAGCAGGTGCCAGCATAATGCCAGACAGCGTGGCAGGCCTGAAAGTCCAGGGAGAGCTAGGTGGCTAGGTGCGGAAAAGAAACACTTTAGTTCTGAACCGTCACTTCAAGTGCCATCGCAGGCAACCTCACTATTCATGTAACTTACCGTTCTTCGCTGCAATCAATTGCACATGCACAAGGCGGACAAGGCGAGTGTCGCTCCAACCCTCAGCAAGAATAACCTTACTGCACACTCACCCACCACCAAACTCAGTTACAGGGCCGCATGTGTGCTGGCAAGAACATCTTCTGGTGGGAGAAAGAATTTAGGCCTCCACAACATGAGTACGCAGTGTAAAGTAATTAAACGCCCAAAGCAAACCCTCGAGAGCACCTGTTGTCTTGCCAACACGCGACCAAATGCCCGGTGCCAGGAGAGCGCCAGATCCGTGCGCCCTCCCAGCAGGTTGAGTATTAACAACTCTCTTTGGAGCCATGAAATTGCCCCGACTCGCACACTCAGGCCTCAGCGTGTGGCTCAGTGAACACGCTCGTGTACAAGTAAAAAGGGTAGCTTGAATCAGGGTTTTTCAGCAAAGGTGTGGGTGTGTGGGGTGTGTGGGTGTGGGTGTGTGTGTGGGTGTGTGTGTGGGTGGGGGGTGTGAGGGGTGTGGGGGTGGGGAGTGTGGGGTGTGGGGTGTGGGGATTTTTGACCTTGGTTACCCCTCGCCCAATCAGTCAGACTCAAACGAGCAACTCATGAGGAAGACTTCGCTGCTCTAGATTGAAGTCAGTCTAGGATCGCATCCCTCCGGCCTGGCCACAAGACGCCATTCAGGGCCCGGAAAGTATGCGGGAACTTGACCTCGGAAAATCCTCACCTAAGAAACTTGCTTGACTAAATTAGGCTGCAGCCACAACCGCGCCAAACGTCAGTTCGACTTGCGTTCGGGGCCTCTAGCATGCTGGCTGATGCAATAGCGAGGAAACACAGTCCAACCAAAAATGGCAGCGGCAGCCTTGACCCCTAATCAAGACAAATCAGCGTGCAGGGTACTCCGATTCTTCAAGGGGCCAGCCCAGCCCGTGCAAGGATACACCATCTGAAGCCCCCAGATCCAAATACATGGGCCTGAACGCTGCTAAAATTGCTGGCGTCGCTTGCCCCGCACATTTCCAAGGCTGCCGCTTAAAGCGTTCGATCACCTTCATCCTGGGTCTTGCGGCTCAACCATAGTGATGAAAGGGTTTGGCTTTACTTGTCTAAATCTAGCTGGTCCACACTAATTAGCTTCAGCAGCTGCACGCTTTTTCCTGCGTAAGCCGCGAGTACTCTCTAGAGGTGCAGCTACGTGACCCTGGCAGCCGAAACTTAGTGAGACAAACAGCAAACATCAGCCAAGCAGCGCAGAAAGCAAAGCGAAAGCTCCCTGGAAAAACGGCGTAACTCGCGAAGGCGCAAGCCCCAGGCTTCAATCTGTCACGCCTGTCCTGGCGGGCTTTGGTCTGGACACTGGCTTTGGCCTGTCACGGCTGTCATTTCCTCTCTGTCACAGGCTCTGTTGCATCTGTCGCAGCTGTCTTTGAAGCATTTTGAAGCAAGATCGTTGTCCCAGCTGCCATTCGTAGGCGCGTGGGGGCATCCGGCCACTGGCGGGAGTCTTGAACGTCATAAAATCAAACAACCCCACAACCTTTCAGGTGGGGAACTCCTGCAGTAACCATACGTGTATCAGATAGGCTGAGGGTTTTGTAGGCATTTCTCACAACTTACCAGAAGAGCAAGTGTGTTTTTGAAAGGTCAGGCAACTAAGGGCACCTTATAGACGAAGGCATACATTGAAAGCGACATGTCGAGAGTTCGAGGACAACTGCTTTGGCCATGCGACTAGGGATGTGCCGTCTACCACTAGCACTCAGACAAGCCAGTGAGCACAAATGACTTGTCGACGGCCAAGTCGGGGCAGCTTGTCTTGGCAAATGCTAAAAATAGGTACCACAAATGGAACCCTGTTGAATGGAAAGACTAAAACCTGCTGTCCCCTGGTGGTTTAATTTTGACCCACACCCAGTTGTTGCAAGTCGAGGAACTTGAAAGACAAGCAAAGGATCATGGGAATGTCAAAAGAACTTGCATCCCAACTGGGAACACCAGAGTTTCCAAAAGTCATTGAATTATTGAAATGCCAAGCCCACCCCTCCCAAGGAATGCATGCAGCTCAGCGGCATCCCTATGTCTGAATGAAACCCAATTGCTTTCCACTTGGCAAATCCGCGCCACGCGTCCAAGGGAATCACCGAATCCTGGCATTCAACTCTGAGCGCATCAACTGCGTTTGCCCCAAATAAATCAAAATGTGGCAGAGCCTCAATCAGATCACAAGTCTCCGATATTTGTGCGCGCAAGGAGTTGACTCTTGGGCAGCTCAGGGCGAACTTGTGGCAACCAGTCCAGTTGGACTGGTTGCCACAAGTTCGCCCTGAGCTGCCCAAGAGAAAACAAACAAAAACCACCGACCAAGCAGACTAGAAAACACAGGCAAATACTCGTGCTGCCAAATTAATGGACAACCAGCAGCAATGCTTCAAACTAACTCAAATAAGCCGCGAATATGTTCTTCGCTGCTGAAGAGGACGGCAAATTGTGTTTGACCCCTGGTTGACAGACTGCCACGAAATGGCCGGCTGCTCACATGAAGCAGCACAAACAGTTGGTCAATCTGCCTACCTACCAACCCATTTTTGCAATCCATGCATCTATGCATCCATCCAGCCATCCGTCCGTCCCTCATTGATCATCGGTTGCCTCTCATATCTTCAAGCAGTTCTGCAACTATTCACAACCCGTTCCCTGGGGTTGACCACTCGCTAGATTGATTGACTGCTTGACTGGGATCAAATCAAAACAAGGCAACACAAACAACCGAACCAACCAAAGCCCCGCTCTCTCGCTAACTTGGGATCCTTCCGAAGGTCAGCGCTGCTTCCTCCAACGAGATGATCTTGTACAAGCCTGCACGCCGGAGACCGTTTTTGCCTAGGCAGGAGCGGCCAAAACTCCACCTATGCCTTTGCTGTAGCTACAACTGAGTCAGCTTATGGGCTGCCAAGACACGGCAAAACCGAGCGAAATGCATGCTCAGGTCGTCAAACAGCTCGGTGGTGAGGCGAAGGGCCAAGTCCTCCTTTTCCTGCCTCGGCAAGATGATGGCTGCTACCAATAGCCCCTTCAGCTAGTCATGCAAACATCCTTTCTCACGCTTCAAACGCAGCGTGTAACCGAGTTGCGATGGGCATGTGACCACCAAACGCAGTTGCCCCTCTTGCTTCTTGTGGCCGCTGCTCTCTCCCATGAGACATGCCTTGGAATCTGCTGACTGGGAGATTCTCTTCATGTTGATGCCTTTCCTGCCGAAGATCCGCTGCACCAGGTCAAAGTCCTTGTGCGTCACAGCATCAAACTCCTCAAAGGTTGCAGCGAAGCCGTACCGCGGAGCCTTGGACGCCTTCCACTTCTTGCACCGTGCCAAGGTCACCTCGCCCGGCGGACAGGGCTTGGCGCTCTTCACTGGAAGTGACTGGCCGCTGCCTGGGGCATTCGGGACATGACATGGGCCCAAATGCTCCAGGCCAGGAGGTGGGCGTACAGCCCCATTGAAGCCAAAGATGTTGAGGCGAAAGCTGTCGTTGGGACCGTCACTCGTGCTGCCGCCGGTGAAGCCATCGTCGCTATCACAGGTGGAGGCAGGGCTGGAGTTGTTGCTGCTCTTGTTGCACGTATTGCCCTTGGCGTCACGGTTGGCAAATGCCGAGATCAGGCTGGTGCACAAGCTGTCCATCGGAACCTTCGCAACTTGGTGCCAGTCTGATGCTACCGTCCACTCGGAAGGCACGCCCACACCAGGGCTCACGATCTCGGGCATCAGCTTGATAGGATTCATTTTGCGCAAATTAGGACTTGGGAAATCGGCCAAGTCTTGAGATAACAATAGCTGCTGGATTCGAATTGCATGACGCGACGAAGCAAGCTCCACCCTGCTTCATAAGAAGTGCCATCACGGCGACTTTAGCTGGCCCAAGCATTCTGCCAGCGCGAACTACGTAGCTAAGGAAAGTAAGCCGCGCGTGCCCTGTCCGTTGTATAGAAGCCTGTGGTCGGCCACTTGGTCCAAGCGCGCAACACGCCTTTTCCCTGACAGGTGCACAAAGACTCCTGACCTTTCAGGGTGAGGCAAAACTGGTCTCAACAGGGAATCAACAGGAGTTTTAGCGATGAGCCCTTAAAAGGACATCTCAAAGGACGGTTAGGGGGCCATTCCCTTCCCTAATGAGAACCAGCAAGACAACTAGCAGCGTTCCATGGGCAAAACATATCACGCTCAAGAAGCCCTTGAGGCCTGGAGCGCTTCGCAAAGCATGCGAGGCTATTGAGTCGCTTCCGTCGGCCAATCGGTGTGATTCGGCACTGACACTAGGCAAAGGCGCGGGCTCCATGCGCGACACATGCGAGGGGTCGCAATCATGTAAGACGTGTTCTTGAACATTGGTTTGCCACGCGGCCATGCAACATGCTTGGCATGGCATGAGCGACGGCTGAGAATTGCATATTTTGCCGGCACCTATCGAAGTGCCTTCGCCTGTCACTGTACAACAACCGAGCTCTGGTGAATGAACTGTACTGCTCTCTCGATCTCTCTATCCATATATGCAAATACATATTATGTCTTAGTATATCTATGTATATCATTGTTTTTGTGCGTTCGTGTGTGCGTGCGTGCGTGCGTGCGTGCGTTGTGTGGGACCAGTGTGTGCGTGCGTGTCGCTAGTCTGTGTGTGTGTCGGTCAGTCCTTGTGCTCGTGCACCTTGTGGTGGCGATACAGGCAAAGTGCTTGGCGGTTGCCCGGTGCTCTCCCGGTTTGAACTGCAAGGGCAGTCGAGTCGCCGGAAAGCAAGCCGGGACTTTGCTGTTTGATAGATCGAAAACTCCGTGCTTCAATTGCAGGGTCACTCCACCATTAAAAAGATTCAAGATCATTGTCTCTTATCCATCCAGTCGCGCCAGGGCTGCAAGCACAGCGGCAGCAATGAATGCTGTAACATAGAAACGGTGGCTGGCGTTACATCTGAGCGACCAACATGTCCTTAGCACCTTGATCCACAGAAATTGCCGATGTTGTCTGCACAAAACATTTATCCAACGCATGCCCTGATTCCAACACGTTTCCATGTAACCAAGCTCGGGCAATGATTTCTCGACTCAGTTTGCGGAATGCTCAGGGTCCTCCCCTTGACAGCTCTTGGGCATTCCTGTAAAAGAAAATCTCTACACTTTTAGGGCGGCCGTGCTAGTTTCTCAATAAGTCCAATATCTTCTGGTAAAGGGCCCGCATCATGGTGCGTTCATTTTTCCCCACGGATTCCGCTTGCCATGCGCATGAGCTGCCACGAGCAGCCCCGTCGCGACAGGGCCGTCGCTTCAGGCCAAATGGGGTCCGGCGCCAAGGGCAACTCATTGATGCTTGATTTGTGTACTTGGCTTTGGCTCATGTTTGGTTGATTATTTGTGTGCGTGTGTGCTTGCGTTTGCGTTTGTATTTGTATTTGTGTGCGTGTGTGTGTCTCGACTTGCACTGTCGAGTAAACTGCCAAGGATGCAGCAATCTGCCATAATTAGTGTCGGTTGTGTTTGTAATTGGTGGCTGATGTTTAGTTGTTCAACGAGTTGGGCTGGCCTAAGCATTTCCAAACACACGTTGGTTGGCGGTTTGGCCAAGTGTCGCTTCCACCAGTGCTAGGCATGCCCTTTGACCAACAAGTCCCTCTCAGTCCGCATAGGTTCCGCCGGGCTCAAAAGCATGAAATCGTGAAACGGACTCTGAGAACCGAGACTCTGAGAAGGAAAGAACCGGGAATATTGACACACACACACGCACCCATACGCATATGTATACATATATATATATATATCATGTGTTGTCTTAAGGGTGCTGAGGAATCTGCTTCACATTTCATCAAGCTCACTACCGCCCCCAAGTGCCATGCGACATGCGCTACCCCTTTGGGTGTCTGGCGGCTTGAAGATTGTTTGATGGCACCCCATGCCGTAGTTCGAAGCAATGAAGACTCAATTAAGGGCGAACCACAAGCTAGCAAAAAAGAAGAAGCTTTCCACAGGAACACCTGCAGGAACACTTGGCTCAGCGATGAGGCTTGGGCAAGCGCGGCCCGAAGTCGATGCTTGGAAATCTTCCAGCTGTATTGATGGTCCTCTGGGGGCTGCCATTTGCGCTCCCTCCGCGGGACATCCATAGCACGTTCCACCAGAAATCATCTCCACGTGCATGCATCTTAGATGAGATTGGAGCTAGAGGGTTGCTGCAAACCTGTACAATGCACAGTCTGATGTTGGACCCAATCAAATTCATAGTTGGATGCCTCTCACGTTGACCCAAACACGCAGCTGGGAGGTGATTTCCGCAATGTTCATGAGCTGCTTGCTTCACGGATCACTGGTATATTGTTGACCCCTGATCGATACGTCCCCAGTTCTCGGTCCTTGTAGCCTTAAAGTTATCCTTCAAAAAATCGCATTGCAGAAGTTGTTGTGTACAGCATATCATATTCAAATGCCGGCATAGTGTTCCGTGGCCTGCCTCCTTCTGTTGACTGCGACCTCAACTCACACGAAGGCTATGCTTTCAACAATGTGTTGGCTGGCTCTCTCTAAAGTGACGTCCCCATTGTCTAGTCAAACGGAACAAAGAACCGCAGAACAACGGTTGCCTGTAACGCCTGACATTCTTAAACTGAAAAGGAGTGGGAGGTTCTGGCGTCACGCGCTACTGCACGGTCTGCTTGATCTCTTCCAGGCGGTGCAAGGCCATGCTTACCTCGGTGTGTTCAAAGGCACCCGGATGCAACCAGCGGCGATTCATCTACCACACCTCTACTCAAACTAAGAAATCTGTGGACATCCACTACATGCCAACCGGTCGGATTGATGATGTAGCAGCGTAGCATTTGGCATGTGGCCATGGCAAGCGCTAGGTGCGGCAACACCTCTCCGTGCATGATCCAATTCAATGAGACTTGGTGGAAGCTCAAAACACAGGCCTCTACTGTCCAGACAGCCGGACCGCTCAAAGCCCGCAAACATCCAAACGTTCTTCCGGTGGCATGTGCCTCTTGCGCAAATGATTTGGGTAGGCATCACGTGACCCGTGGGAGGACACCTCTCGCGTGGAAGCGCGCTGCATGTAAAGCCCGCGTGTCTTGCAGCTTTTGCCAGGAGTATTAGCTGAACTTAAATGTGCAAGCTGTCTCTGGTGGCTTTCTTGCAGCCAGGTGCAGCAAGGCTGATTAGCAAACATCCAGGTACATATGCAAAGCAAAATCAACAATTTGCAACAAAAAAAGAGCATACTGATAATCACCTTTGAGATCATGTGCCTCCATGGGCCAAAAGGTTTGCCAACAAAAACCTTGTGGAACCCGATGTGCAGTCTGCTTGCTAAATAAGAAATAGCTCAATGCATTGGTGACTCGTATCAGGCCTGCCCCTTCAGCTTCTGCCCGACGCCCGTCTCTGACCGTCTTCGAAACCAGAACAGGGGTTCATGAGTCGCCGAGTGATCCTTGAAAACACATTGGAACCTTGGGATGTGAAGTTGACCCTCTTGCCCATCCTTTTCCGCTGCCCAAAGGACCCAGAAAAGGGTGAAAAGCTTTTGGCTCCTGAACATGGATTAAACATCGGGAAAAGCAACTGGTTTTCCGAGGTCGGCCTTGAACTGAGGTGAATTGTTTCTTGCTGGTGCTCAGCAGGGATGAGAAATGCAATGGCGCCACTTTTCCATCCAACTGAGGGTTTCCTTCAAGGGGGACCCTGTAAACCATCTCTTTGGGTTTCCTTTAAAGGGAACCCCTGGTTCATTCAACCACATTCCAACTCCCTATCGCACCGATGGCAAGTTTTGCTAGCTGCTACTCCGAGGTGCACGGCCACGAGACATTTCAATGGCCTCCGTTTTGCGCTCGTTCTGTGGCCGGTCCTGGAACCCAGCCCCGCAAAGAGAAGAAGACGTTTGGCGACGTGAAAAGGGAACCGGAGAAATAGCATAAAAAGGGCAACACGCGTCACAGGTGATATCAGTCTGGCAATGCTTCCCGAATGAGGAACATGAACGAAACATGCTAGAGAGGAATGCTGCTCCCTACTCCAAATACCCACTTCGTTTAGGGCATCTCTTGCAGAGCCAAATGCTTTCCACGGTGCCATACCTCTTTTATTTATGTCGCCCCTTCCCCCCTCCCCAGAAAAAAAAACAAAGAAAAAGGACAGGTGGCTATTTGGAGTGGGGGGAACGACTGGCCATGGGTCATTCGGGAACACGTGGCGCAAGAACTCTTGGCAGTCGATGGAGCCGCTCTGGTCGTCGTCGAACCTGTCGAAGGCGGTCAGGTTTGCAGGGCTGTCCCTAGAAGCTTGCCGAAGCAACCCAATATATAGTTTAAAATCCCCAATATAGAAGTGTAACGAAAATCCCGAAAAAAAACCTGGAAGTTAACGGAACATCCCCAATATATAGTGTAAACACGGAGCCCAGCACCTTTTTGTGCATTTCCGAGGAGATCGGTTGAAGAGGGGTAGATTGGCGAAGGGAAAAGGCGAACATCACAACCCCACAAGTTTGAGGTCGAAAAGCGAATGGCTTTCGGGGCTCCATCTAGTCGGGAAACACTGTGCATCTAGCCTGAGGTTGTCCACGCAATCTCTGCTTACCCACATGACAACAAACTTCCTGAGGGACTTTATGTCGCTTGGAGCGTGTCAAGCACTCTGTTGATGTGCCGGAGGCTTGTTGCAGGACCCTTCATATGACTCCTGTGGGCTGGGGTTGCACTTCAGGACCTCTTGCCCAACAGAAAAGGACCTCCTGCAAACTTCCAAGTTTGTCTGCAAAGGACTGGCAAACAACTCGAAACCAGCCAAAGGCTGCAACGGACGCACACAAAACACATCTTGATCAGGGGTTGCAGGGCACGTTGCTCACTTGCTTGCCTAGAAAAAGACTAAACTTGTGGGCATACTGCTCGAACGCCCTTTGCGTCCTGCATCTTCATCGGTTGGGAATATCAAGATCAAGACTGCTGTCTAGGCTCTAGAGCCTTTTCTGCAGAAACCACATAGCTGCCCCAATGGCACAGGTGCATTGCCCCACCAACCAACAGCAGCAAACCGTCCGAACACCCACCGTAGCAAGGGCCGGATACTTGCTGGGTGGTGAGGTGCCGCCGTGGTGCAGTTCGAAAAGGTCCACGGCACTGGCCATGTCGATGCCAATCCTCATCCTGAGGGCCACTCTCCCGACTGAGGGCCACTCTCCACAGCTCAAAGCTTATCTGTCACCCAATGAGAGGGAAGCAAACATGGGTTGCAGCATATCAATGCAGCAATGCTTGCCAGCAGCATTGGAACGAGTCTTTGACAAATGCCAACAGCTTGCCAAGCCGAAATACAACATCCCATTCACCAACCGAAGGCATCCAAAGGCAACGTGTTGGCTGGTCAGCAAAAGTGTAACAATGCAGCAGCAGCAGCAGCAGCAGCAGCAGCAGCAGCAGCAGCAGCAGCAGCAGCAGCAGTAGCCGCCGCCGCCGCCGCCGCAGTTAAAACAGCAAAAACAGCTTTAAAAGCAGAATGATTTTGAACGCGCCTGCTCCTTTAAAGATTCAGCTGACAAAACAAAGGTGAGGCAAACAACAGTCCTCAAAAGCGGTGTGACCGCGTTACTTCCTCGGAAAGTAAGCTAGCTTTGTGACAAGGTTCCTCCACCCATAAGCTTTGCAGCCAGAAGCAGCCACAAGCTATTGCTGCCGCAGGCGCTGGTGGAAAAGCTCCATAAACTCCACAACATCCAGTTGGCCATCTCCATTCACGTCCACAAAATCGAAGAGGATCTTCACATCTTTGGCAGTGTAGCCCCATTTTGCCAAGCATTTCCTCAGCGTCAACAAAATCAGCTACGAGCGCATCTGCATAGAACATGAAGACCACAAACCTTGCAAATACGTCTTAGTTGTGACCGGCAACGTTGCATCAACCATGTTCCGCCTGGCCTCTGAGCTTGGCCACAAAATAGGCATCATTAGGCATGCAACAAAATGCAGCTGCACGCTCCAGGCAATTAGAGAACAGGAAAGCTGCCCCAGCGTCCCCAACCCCAACTGGAAAAAACATGCCCCCCGCCCTCCTCCAAATATTCTGGCCCCATGCAAGGAAAAACAGAGAAAAACACGGAAAGGTCACTAGGGTACGCCCTCGCTTCCATACATTGCTTGGGGGGCAGCTACGCAACCCGTCCCGAAGCACGCATTCGCAGCAGGCTGCCGAACGGGCCACAAAGAATCGCAACCCGAACAAGTTGGATCCTACCAGGTTACCAGCCACTAACTCTGCCCATCAAGACCTGGGCCGCATATTCAAATCCAATTGCCGGGATAAGAAACTAACATAGTGCCTTAGCCATTTGGAGCACTATAGCTGGTGCAAACCGTAGTCTTGAAAGAAAAGGTCACAAGGTAAGGCCTGTTGGTTGGACACATTTCAGGAGCACAAACGCAACAGTGATGCCCTGAATTTCCGGAACCTTCACCATGGCTTCGAGCTACGCTCACTCTGACACTTCATCGGCAATCTGGTCTGCGGGTGTCTGGCTCACTGTTGCCTCGCGCCAATGGCAAGTTCAGTGGAGCTGTGGGCAGCCCAATTGCTCGCCGAGGCGCCGCGCGCGAGTGATGAGCAGCACGCGGGCACGCTTCTGCCAGCAGGCGGTAAACTCATTGCCAATGATGCCCACGGGCAAGGCTAAGAAAAGGACCTCTGCGACTCTTTCCCCAACTTGTGTAGTCAAAACAGACATTTCGATCCAATGGCGGTTGTCGCTTTGGCTTCCTATTAAACCACGGTGGTTTAAGGGGAACTCTCAGAAGCACAACGCAACATGCTGCCAGTAAAGCCACCCAAAACTAAGGTGAGTTCAAGGAGTGAATCCTTGGACACGAGCGCGGCTTCAAATTGAAGCCGTGCACCTCACATAAGCCATCATGATCAGCCACAGGTGCAATAAATATCAAGCCGAACGAGAGCCTCCAGTTGCTCGTAAGTACAACCCAGCAATGGCAGTTGGGGTTGACGAAAGTCGCAAAAAGCAAACTCACCTCAAATGTTAAATTATGTTAGCATTCGGAAATGAATAAGGAAAAACACATGTAGATGGGACCTCCGCGCTCCGGTTTTTCCGAGCGGCGCTGAGAACGGTGAGGAAAGACACTGTAATGTACCCTGCCAGGGATCGCGGAAAAAAGTCGCCATAGCCCACGGTGGTCATGGTGACAATCGCCAACCACAGAGAATGCTGCATGCTCGGGATGCTGCTCCTGGCGTCCGCTTAAAATGGACCACCTTGGGATCCATACCTCCACTGGGAGACAAGCGAAAACGCGCTGTGGGGGGAGGGGGGGCATGCAGCGTGGTAGTTTAAAAACAGCACCACCCTGGCTCCCGTTCGGAACAAAGGCCATCAGTCAATTAATTTGCAATACTAACCCACAACGACACACCCAGACCAGTGCAGGAATTGGTAGTCGGGCTGTCGAACGCGTCTACTGCGGAAAGTTCATGGCAAACATTCTAAAGCGGGGAACAAAGAACCGTGACACGTCTCAGACCAACCACCAGGATTAACGCATAGATCCCGCGGCTTGTTCCATTGCACTTAGCCCACAGGCCTGGCTTCACCCAAGTAAATTGCAGTAGCGGAGAACAAGGTGATCACCGCCATCACGTAGGTCAGCACCGGCAGGGCCTTGCAGGGTACAGTAAGGGGCAATGGCAATGCAATCCGCTGAGCAAATTGGCAGCTAAAGCATCAATATGGAAACTCCGGATTCATGGCCTCCGGGCCTTTGGCGGCGAGGGGTCATGCGGTTTGGTGGGGGTGCTTTCGTTTGGCAGACACAAGCACGCGCACGTCGACGTACCCCCCGAAACCAAGTTGATACACCAGAAACTCATGGAGCCGACATCGGCGCACAACAAGCACCTTGCGCGGCTTCCGGGAAAGGCACCCAAGTTGCTTGCCACGGAGCCACAGCCCTACCAGCTTTTCTGGTTAGCTGTTTTGGAATTGGGTCGCGGCCAAGCTGCAACAAAGAATAAAGAAATCGCAAACTGCCTGGAACAATGCCCGAGTTTACACCGTTATAGGGGACCCTTGACCAGCGCAGCACGGGGGCCACCCGCAAAAGGGTGTGTATACCCTGGGTAGGAGGCACCCTTTGTGTAGTCAAACAAAGGCCAGAGCACAGAAACTCTCAATCAGAACTCCGTCACTCAGTCTGAGTGGTTGCTCAAATGTTCGACTCAGTTGATGCTCCCTTTGGATTGAACCCTTCCAAAGAGTCATCCCGTCCGGCACATTTCTGGGGAACTCACATGTTTCCCGCTGGTTCGGGGTCGCTTTGCACCAGAACCTGCCCGCTCCTCCGCGGAATTCTTACAGGCGTCGATGAGGAGGTGAAAGGACTCGAAATATCTAAGGAGCTTCAGCAAGCGGATTAGGGGCAGCAAGAAGAGCAATACCACCTGCTGGCTGGCAAAATCGGGTTGGCTTTTTGGCCCCACTCTTTATTGGGGGGCAGGGGGACCATGCTCCCCGCAAAGAGAGCAGGAAAGTCTGATGAGCATGGGGTGTGAAATACTTGGTAGATTTCTGTGTGCATGTGTGCACATGCTGCGCTCCATGGCCCAATGCGAATGCGCAGCACCAAGGATGCACCACATGCCGAGTCCATGTTGCTTCTCGAGCCAGCCCTGACTGCAACAACTTCCTCCTCGGACTGATCATATTCCTCCCTGAGAGCTTGAAAGTCAACAATTGAATTGCTAGATGCGAGGCACATAGGTCCTCAACCTTGTTGGAATCATGGGCCTACCTCTGCGACGCAATGTGCAAATAATAAGTGTTTAATAACCTCGCTGCATGTTGCCGGATCTGTTCGCACCTCGTCAAATATCCAACTTAAGCACACCGCGTAGCTCGGCAACGCCCGCTTTGGTAGCTGTCACAGTCTTTGTTCTGTGACAAGAGCATTTCCCCTCAAACAGGCGCCGTAATCGAAAGCTGGTCAACTGCCAATGACAATAATAACTTCAGTGTTGAACGGTTGGAACAGCTTGCCCAGTTGCCTTTGGGGCTGAGAAAACCCTTTCAACATCAGACCGCCAAGCACAACTTGGATTTCCATTTCTCCTAATAAACAGCCGGAATTGTGGCGCCCGTGTTTTGAGGCACACCAACACGCTCCCCAGAACTGGCCGTGCAAGTTCCGTAGCTGAGGCAGTACCTGCATGGACTTCTGCAACTTCCGAGCGCGATTGACAGCAAGTGAGGCTTTGGTGGAAAAATGGGCACTCTCTGAACATCTGCGTTAAGTGCCCATGGAGAAATCTGCGCCATTCCTTTGTGAGACCTTGATGCATGCGTGGTTGTCCCTGCCTTCTTTTGTGCGTGGCGTGCGTGCATGCGTGCATGCGTGTCTGTTTGTGTCTGTTTGTGTCTGTGTGTGTATGTGTCTGTGTGTGCGTGTGTGTCTGTGTGTGTGTGTGTGTCTGTTTGTGTCTGTGTGTGTGTGTGTGTGTGTGTCTGCGTGTCTGTGTGTCTGTGTGCGTGTGCGTGCGCGCGTGTGTGCGTGGGTGGGTTTGTGTCTGCGTGTGTGCGTGTGTGCGGGCGGGTGTCTGTATGTGTGTATCTGTGTATGTGTGTATGTGTGTGTGTATGTGTGTGTGTGTGTGTGTCTGTGTGTCTGTGTGTCTGTGTGTCTGTGTGTCTGCGTGTCTGTGTGTTTGTGTCTCTGTCTGTCTGTCTGTCTCTCTGTCTGTCTGTCTGTCTGTCCCTCTGTCTGTCTTTCTGTCTGTCTTTCTGTCTTTCTGTCTGTCTCTCCGTCTGTCTGTCTGTCTGTCTGCCTGGCTGGCTGGCTGGCTGGCTGTCTGGCTGGCTGTCTGTTTGTCTGTCTCTCTCTCGCTCTCTCTCTCTCTCTCTCTCTCTGTCCCTCTGTCTCTCTCGCTCTCACTCTCTCTCTCTCTCTCGCTGTCTCTGTTTGTCTCTCTCTTTCTCTCGCTGTTTATCTCTCTGTCTGTCTTTCTCTCTGTCTGTCTCTCTGTCTCTCGCTCTCTCTGTCTCTGTCTCTCTTTCTCTCTGATTCTCTCTCTCTCTCTCTCTGTTTGTCTCTCTCTCCCCCTCCCTCCCTGTCTCCCTCTCTCCCTCTCTCCCTCTCTCCGACTCTCCCTCTCTCCGACTCTCCCTCTCTCCCTCTCTCCCCCTCTCTCTCTCTCTCTCTCTCTCTCTCTCTCTCTCTCTCTCTCTCTCTCTCTCTCTCTCTCTGTCTCTCTCTCTCTCTGTCTCTCTGTCTCTCTGTCGTCTGTCTCTCTGTCTGTTCTCTGCCTGCCTGCCCTGCCCTGCCCTGCCCTGCCCTGCCCTGCCCTGCCCTGCCCTGCCCTGCACTGCCCTGCCCTGCCCTGCCCTGCCCTGCCCTGCCCTGCCCTGCCCTGCCCTGCCCTGCCCTGCCCTGCCCTGCCCTGCCTTCCTGCTGTCTGTCTGTCCGTCTGTTTGTCAGTCTGACTATCTGCCTTTCTGTCTCTCTCTCTCTCTCTCTCTCTCTCTGTCTGTCCGCCTCTCTCTCTCTCTCTCTCTCTGTCTGTCCGCCTCTCTCTCTCTCTCTCTCTCTCTCTCTCTTTCTTTCGCTCTCTCTCTCTCTCTCTCTCTTTCTCTGTCTGTCTGTCTGTCGGTCTGTATGTGTCTGTCTCTGTCTCTGTCTCTGTCTCTGTCTCTGTCTCTGTCTCTGTCTCTGTCTCTGTCTCTGTCTTTGTCTGTCTATCTGTCTGTTTCTGTGTGTGTGTGTGTGTTGCCTCCTTGCTTGCAAAGACAATCACGCACATCAAACATGAATTCCCGCTGAACAAACGACCAAGCGGGACACAAACACGCCACCTGGCTTGTAAGCGATTGTGCCAAGCCACTTCCATCAAACACATCTACACTCCCTGGAATTAAACAGGAAGCTCCGAAGCTTTTGTTGGTTGTTTGCAGATTAGTCGGAAATGCTACCATAGAAGTTTCTGGGGGTTCTTGGTCGGCTTCCGCATTTCGGACACTCAGCTGACTTTCGACGATGGTTGGGCAACGGCTCCCTCAAACCCTCAAAAACCCGACCCCCCCCTAACACAAACCGAACTCCCCCCTTCCCAGAACCCCAAAAAACAATAGGGCAAGCGACGAGCCTGCACTTCCATGTGAAGCACACGTGCTCTCCTTTACATGGAAGTGCAGGGCCCATTTTCAGGTTCTATGTTAGGACACTTTCGTCGGTCAGAATGTGTGTTTTCACTCACGTTTTTTTGTTTCCATGGAAGTGCAGGCTGGAAACCGGCCCCCCAAACAATCTGGGGTTGTTTCGGAAAACCCCAGGATTGCCGTGGCGAGGGGCACCTGGCACAGATTCTATGTTAGGAGATGGTCGTACCTTCCCAGTTCAAAAAAAGACAGGGATTACCCCAGGAAAAGACGGTGAAGGGACTTCCATGTTAGAGGGACTTCTGAGAGCACGGACTTCCTGTTTAATTCCAGGGAGTGTATTCTGTTCCATGGGGACGCCTCCGATCCCAACCACCCGACACATTGGCCTGCGTCATGTCCATCGGTTCAGATTTGATGATGACAAAGCCAACGCTTGCCCGCCAAAAGAACGGCAGCGCGGAGACAAAATCTGGAAAGTTGATAGGGTCCAAGAGGTATCCTGCCAAAGTGACCGCCAACTTGCCCGTGGTAAAAAGGTGGACCAACATGGAAAACCTAAATGATCTTGCCAGTCAACACCGGGTTTTAGTCCAGGGGACGACCCTTGGAAGATGTCCCCATACAACACACTACTGTGGCCAAATCAACGACTACACCACTTGTTTGCTCTTGTTCCCTTCGCTTCCAACACGACTCCCCGAACAAGATGGCCCCGAACATGCGGGCTGGCTCCTCTTTTGGAGGGCGCCGAGAGGAAGCGGCAGAGGAACTCTGCCAGGAAAATCACATCGAAGACAGACTCCATCACAGCGGCCAAGTTGGAGTTTATGGTGATCTCCTCGGTCGTCTGGAAATTGGTGATGACAACGCTGGCGATGACAATCCTCAGAGCCAACCACACGTTACAAGACATGACCTTGCAACCAAGCTGAACAGCAATTATTGAGCCAGCCGTCCGAAACATTCCGGCCCTTCCCGAACTGCACACAATTTCGGGCGATGCTTTGAGGCGATGTGCATTTTTGTCAAGAAGGATTCCCTTCCATTGCAGGCTCCCATTGGGAGCCTGGCCAATCCGGCTCACAAGCAGCTTTCTCAGCGAAAAAAAACAAAATACATCAGGAGAAGCGGAAAACAAAACCCTAGCAACCGAAAAATGTTCAGATCTTGAACCACACCGAAAAGCGAGCAAAAGCCTTTGCAGCAAACCTGCCCACCGAAAAGCGATCAAACGCCTTTGCAACACATGTCTCTCGACATGGGGCCATCTGCAAACAGGACACCGCGTTTTCAGAGGTTGAAGTGAACGCAAACGACAGAGGGGCTGCCCCCTGAATCAAAACGCTCACCTGCCCGGGAATTACTTTGCAAACTTGAAAACTCCAGAATCTGAAATACGGTCTCCCCGAGGGGACCTTCATATCCAGCTCCTTTCCTGGACGGAACTTGCCGCAAGCGAACTCCGACGACCCCTCGGCCCTCTCGGGGAGGTGCAGCTTCAGAGACTGCGAGATCACCCAGGCCGCCCGGGAGGAGTTGGGATCATCCAGCAGCTCCCACAGCTGGTCCAGCCGACTCCTCGCACTTCAAACCCGCATGATGGACAACTGAAATTAACTAAAGCCTTGAAAAACCCACTTACAAAAAAGCTGGTGCAGCATTTTAAAAATCATGACGAAAGAAAGGGGAACAAGCAGAGAAAAATAGCTAGAACAACCGTGGGATGATGAACACGGCAAATTGTCTGCATCACTGCTGTTGCAGCTCAAAAAGGCAGGCTTGTTCCTTGCCGCTTGAGAAAGCATCTCGATGTTCCCATCAGTTTTTTTAGGTCAAGGGGCGAATGACAGGTTCAATCAACAATTCAGCCTCAGCCCCCGGCTTTCATCTGGGCAGTGACCCGCGCGCGTTTGTGCTCGCTTCTCCAAACTTGCGGAAGTACATGGCAATTCTGAACACGCCAAATGTGTGGACGGGGGGGGGCGGGGGGTTCTGGTGCACCCAGGTGTCTGGGCGTTCTTCATGGCCACGCTTGTGGCGTCTCCAATGGCTGGAGGGCGAACTGTGGGCAAGACTCCTGGAGTTGATTCTTGTATTGTGCTCCTCTGCCATGGTCAAACCCCGTTCCATGGGCACGGCTCCCTAAGGGTCCATGACCATCCTCCCAACCCAAATCAAAAGTATGGTTTGGCCATAACACGGGCTGGAAGCTGCCTCCTTGAGCACGCCGCCACAAACGCCCAACAAAAGGCAACATCTCCCAAAAACGGCAAGGAAATGTATCTTGATGGATCTACACCCCTCCGTCCCGTTTGAGTGAGCCAACTTTGCAGCATGGGCGCCGGTAGAGGATCCGCATCATGGGCTGCGTCTCCTCGTCGCTAACGTCCTGCACGTCTCTCTCAAGGGGAATAACCCAAAAGAATGAGAATGGGGGGGGGGTTGTGCGAGACTTCAAACACGCAAATAAGTCATGATCGCAAAAGACTAGTGCGTGTGTGTGTGTGTGTGGGTGCGTGCGTGCGTGCGTGCGTGGGTGTGGGTGTGGGTGTGGGTGTGGGTGTGGGTGTGGGTGTGGGTGTGGGTGTGTGGGTGTGTGGGTGTGGGTGTGTGAGTGTGTGGGTGTGTAGGTGTGTGGGTGTGTGGGTGTGTGGGTGTGTGGGTGTGTGTGGGTGTGTGTGGGTGTGTGGGTGTGTGTGGGTGTGTGTGGGTGTGTGTGTGTGGGTGTGTGTGGGTGTGTGTGTGGGTGGGTGTGTGTGGGTGTGTGTGGGTGTGTGTGGGTGTGTGTGGGTGTGTGTGTGTGTGTGTGGGTGTGTGTGGGTGTGTGTGTGTGTGTGGGTGTGTGTGTGTGTGGTGTAAATATGTTTTTAGCCCCTCATAGTACGTGCCACAAGAAACGCTTGCCAACCATATTGTCAGCTGCAACCGGTAATCCGTTCTGTAGAAAACGGAACGCTTTCTATAGGGCATGCAAGGCGCCTACAGTGACCAACCTATAGGGCATACAACGCGCCTTGTATAGGGATACATGGTTGGCCCAGAACCGCATGATTGTTTGCCATCATGTCTTGGAAAAGGTTAGTTGAAACAGTTCACATGGCTCCTTCTTGTCTCAGATTTGGTGACAACACGAGGACCAGCTTCTTTTTAGTGCCCACGATTCATTTGTTGGGTGCTATGGTCAGGTCACATAGTCCTAAATCAAAGAGGTCACTTACGCCCTTTAAAGCGCACTTAGACCCTGGGTGGGTTGCCTCCCCAGCCCGGGCAAAACGACGACACGTGAGTGCGAACGACACTCACACGGGGGGACCGATGCTGGGCAAATCGAGCCGCAGGCACGCAGGACACTCACGCAGGGGGGACCAACACTAGCGTAAGTGACCTTTTCAAGGGGTAAGTGACCTCGATTCGCACCCACACTGACACTCAAATGACACGCTTTGACACTCAAAACGCCATGTTCAGGAAATTCCGGGTCGGCCCGAATCAAATGTGGCAGTTGTCACACTTCGACATGGGCAGCTGTTCGATTTCAAAAGGATTCCAACCCACATCAAGCCAGAAAGGGCACTTAGCAAACGAATCAAAGGGTCACTTAGGGCATCGACACGGCCTTAAGTGCCCTCGATTCCAAAACACGTCAAGTGCCCCTGATTGAAGGGCACTAAAAGAATGCAGCATGGAGTTCAGCAGGGCCCATGAAGCAATGAGGCATCCGAGTTTTCTCTGAGCTGCTGTGTGCATCGTGCCCACATTCCAGCTTTGATCGGGCTCAAGAACTTGACAAAGCCAGGCTTTCTTCAGCCTGTTGACCCTGTTTATATGGGGTGTTTATTCATGGGGGTGTTCCCCCAAAAGTGCTTCCCCACTAAACCGAGGGACGCGCCCCACTAATAAACTGGGGTTGATTAATATGGGGTCACATCATTGCGCAACCCCTTGCAGGCGCCTCTCTTGCCTCTTTCGCCCTGATCTGCCACGCGAGCTTCAAGTCCACGTTCCTCACCGTATGCTCCGGACGCCTGCCAAGCAGCCTTGAACTCGATATGTTGTGGCAACCGTATGCTGGAACAGGCGTTCTTGCAACTCACACAACAAATGTAAATTAAAAGTCAAGAAGTTACCAACGCTTCCATCCTAGCACAAATTAATTGAAGATTCTTCCTGTAGTGCTAAACATTCGGAGGCGATGTTGTGGCGTCTAACGGGGGGCACTGTTGTACGTCTCCGGTGTTTTTTTGGGGGAATCACATATTGTGAAATCACGCCTGGGGGTCCCGGTGCTTTTCTTTTTTTTGATCACGCCTGGAGGGTCCCGGTGTTTTTGTTTCTTTCATAACGCCTGGGGGGTCCCTGTGCTGTTGTTTGTTCATTTCGCCTGGGGGGTCCCGGTGTTCTTGTTGTTGTCATGACGCCCAGGGGGTCCAAGCGTTTTTTGTTGCATTCATGCCTGTGGGCCGGGGTGTTATTTCTGTTGAATTCACGCCTTGGGGCTCCGTTTCTTTTCTTTTGAAGTCATGCCTGTGGGCCCTGGTATCTTTTCTTTTGAAGTCATGCTTGGGGACTCCAGTGTTTGTCTTTTGCAATCACTCCGGGACCCCCCAGGCATAATTTTAAAATATGTGCTTCCGAAAAGAAAAGCACGGAAGCCGGCGGGATTTAAAAAAAAAAAAAAAACAAACAAACAAAAAAAACTCACCCCCCAGGCGTGATTTCAACAAAAAAAGGACCGAAGTGTTTGTCTTTGGAATCACCAGTCGCTCACTCACTTGCTTGCTCGCTTGGTCTGTGAGACAAAACAAACCAAAATGAGAATCCAACATGAGGCATTTCAAGAGAAAATCGGCTGGTGTAAATTTGCCGGGCCCACAAATTTGTCGATCGTGAATGGGTGATTCAGCCTTCGGAAAGGGCCGGGCATCCGTTCACTCACTAAGGATAGAGCGGCGAAAGAACCTCTGCCCTATCCATCCACTTGGCGGATGGTTGGGCTCAACTCGCCTTTCACTTATTCATCTGAAAGCTATGCAAACATTTTGTCAAGTTAGTCAATCTGCAGCAAACCTTCCATCTGCCCAGCTTACACTCGTCTCTTCGCCCCTGCACTTCTTCAACATGTTGCTCGTTGCTGCACACATATCTTTATGTAGTTTGGTGGCACGGGTGGCTTCATCTCATGGGACTTGAGGCAACATCACACACACACACACACAGACACACACGCGGCTGGAGCTCCCGTCCTTCCGATTTGAGGCGAGTTCTGGGATCCAGAGCGCCCGGAGCGCCCGGAGCGCACAGACCGTGGGGTGGGCTCTGGCTCAGAAGTCTTGGCCTCTGAGGGGTAGCCCTCCTCACGAGCCTCGCTTGGCTTGTCGGACTTTTCCCGGATTCTTTGCGAGTAATTTCGGAGAAGGGAGCTAGGAAACTGCCACTGAACTACAGGGCCTGGCGGCTGACATTCGTCTCATGACCCCGGAAATCGGCGGAGTTCATTGGGGGTACCTTTGAAACCACCCCAAAAAGGGTATTTGGGGTATCTCAAAAAATGGTGCGGCGTGCCAATTTTAATGTGTCCCAAGTGGGTCGAGCCATGAAGCCCGTCAGGATAGCTCAGCCTCGGAATGTTGCCCAAACCACTGTTGGAACATGTCAAAACCGGTGTGGCAGCCATCGTGGGTCCATGACTCAACATGTCCCCGCGAAACATATGACTAGCTTGACTTCAGGGAGCTGACCGAAGATTGCATGACACGGCAAAAGGATGCCTTGTTAGGGGCTGCTCAATTTGGGGAGAACAACTGGCAAGAGCAAGTTCAAAGAGAGAGGGCATGGTTGCGGAAAAGGAGCCCTTTCTGTGATACCAAAGTTATTGATTGATTCCCATCCCTACAGCTATTTTGTGACTTTAACGGGGCTTCCCGAAGGATGCCGCAGAAAGTGTCAGCCCGAAACCATTTGTCCCAAAATGACGAGTTATTTGAAACAAATCTGGCCAAATCAAGGGCTCAACAACTGTACTGGTTTCGTCGTCTGGCAACACCGCCTCCCTAGTCCCCTTAAAAAAAAAAAAAACGGAACCCACCAGCCTAATTGTCATTGGGCAGTTTGGCTTTTGGAGATGGGGAACAAAACAGTCGTTGGGGGATGGTACGGGATCGCCATTTCTCCGGACGTCGCCCTTGAGCCGAGTGGCGTTCTCGGAGCCGAAGACGGGCGAGGACAAGGCCAAGCACCGGCCCTTGGGGGCATATGCCGCCTCAGAAACGCCTTCCCTGCGAGTGGCAAACCAAAGCGTTGACACGGAAATCTCGATCGCCGTCCCAGTGAAATGCAATGATCAAGGCAATTAGCAGGGCATACCTGTGCCAGCTTTACATTGCAAGCCATAGGGAAATCAACACAAAAGAGGGAGCACGATAGATTTGCCCTTTGAACAACGCACAACTCCTCGGCCCTGAAGAGGAACCGCGCTCTCCCACTAAACAATGGCCACACACAAATTGGGTGTTGCTTAAAACGGAAAAACCAAACTTGGGTGGTCTGCCTTTTGCTTTCTCTTTGTTCCAACCCCCAAAAGGGTAATTAGCCTAAAACACAGACAAACCCAAGTCATTCCATTTACACCATCATAGCAGAAAACTGACAACTACACGTCAAAACTACCACATACGCAAGACCATGTCTATGGGAATCTGACAGCGAGTTGCATGGCCCGATTTGGCATGATGTGCCACAAGCACAAACCAGCGCAAACAGCAACGCAAACTGACGGGACACCTCAAGGATTGCTGCAAGAACTTTTTGGGGCTTCCAAATCAAAAACAATGAGCCAAACGTTGACAGCGAGGCCAGGCATATGCGTGCTATTGGCGATGCCAAGGTTAACGTCAAGTCCATTGGGCACCTGAGCATTGCACGCCGATGCATGCACCTGCTTTAGGAAGCACTGCAAAGGCCTGCCCTATGCCTCGAGGTGTCCTTCAAATGGATTCGTATGGGCCATGAGTTGAACCATACTGAATCCATCCATGTTCAAGCCGAACAAAAAGCCAGAAAGGACACCTCTGGCACCTGCTTTTAAGACACTCTTTTTGGCTTCCACCCGGGCAAATCAAATCCACATGCGTAGCCCAGCAATAAGGAATCCCGCCAAGTGGACATGGATGAGCTCTTTTTTTGAGCCCGATTCGGTGAGCTCGATTTCGGGTCCCTTGCTTGGGCAATAGGAGACGTCACTCCCCATTTGCCGAGCAGCCATGTGTGGTGGAGCCACCCTGCCACTCTCAGAGGCCGGCACAGAGAGATGGCTATCATCGTCCTGAAGGCCCGGCGCGGGTTGGGCATTTCTTCCAAAAGAGTGAGTCGCAGCCAACTAATCACAGGGCATCCCCATTTCAGCGCCTCAAGTGCCCTTTGGTTCTTTCTGCGCTAAACAAAATCCCAACAGAAAAGGTTGTCTCTGCTTGAGGTTCGGGCACCGTTCTAAGACAACTGAGCTTGTCTCCCAAAAGGGTTGGAAACCTCAAACGGGCTTGGTTTGTTGATTCTCCGAAGCCGAACAGCCCGCACCCAAGAGACCTCGAGAGGCATAAAGATGGAAACCAACAAACTAGAGCGCATCTGCGCTCTTAGGACTCTGGATAAGCCGTTCATGGGTTCAGAGGGGTCACGACTCTGGAAAGTTGAGCGGAACTTGTGGCTTTCTGGCTTCCTGCCTTTCCGGCATAAGCCTGAGCCAAAACTTCAACCTTCAAACCAATCCAAACCCGTGAAAGACTCATGTGGGTGGGTCTTCGTACTGGGGGAACCCTCCTGGGGGAAGGGAAACCACAGCAAGCGGCCAGAATGAATTCTTCCTTGATTCCTCACTTAACAGGGAGCCAGTCCTGTTTAGCATTGGCCTCTGCATGTCCGTGATCCTCACCTTTCCCCCCTCTGCACCACATTGACACAGCCTCTCCGTCCGAGCGACCCGAACCCAACCCAGCGACTCCTTCTTGCGCCAGCTCAGCACCTCCGCGAGGCATGCGCCCACTTGCTCCGAGATGCGGTCCAGCCGTGCCTCAAGAGTAGGACAGTGTCCGTTGGCCACAAAAACCAAACGACGCAAGGAGACATGTTTCTGCGCACGCGTGTGGGCAACTTACTGTAATGCAACTTGCGTTTGGCTCCCCAAGCCAGGCATGTGGGAATCGTGCAAAATCACTCTTCGCCGCTTTGCAACATGGGCTTCAAGTTGAATGCCAGGGACCGCCAGGCTTGGTCACGTGTTCCTTCTGCCAAGCGGAGTCTGGCCGTGCCCATTTCGAGCCACAACATGGCTATCCCAAAAAAGAGCAACCAGCTTTTGGCAAAAACCTGCTTCGCATTCAATCCAAGAACTCCAGCCGGTTCAAATTGCCTCAACGCATGTTTTGGTGAAAGAACCTCCCCCAAAACAACGAGGGAGGTGGGTTCTTCGCCATGGCCTCGATGGCGACGAAGGGGTCCGCCTTGTCCTGGCCGTTTGGTGCAAGAAAAGACCCGTGAGTGAAGATGGAAGGTACGGCTACTCAACCAAGCTAATTGATACACATATATATATATATACTGTTTGCAAGTCTCTGAGCCACACACCATGATCAGGGTCTGACTCTTGAGTCTTCCGAACAGGCCCTGTCCTCTACCTGCCCCGGAAACATGGCGCCGCCCCGTCAAGACCTTCACCCAGCTTCGAAGGCTTAAGCTAAGTGCCCTTGAGCCGAGCGTGGCGAACGGCGAAACCAGCCGTTGGCAAGCCAAGCTGTCAGCGCGGAAGCCCTCACTCCCTGTTAGTGGGTCCTTTAAAGTGAACTTGTTGGGTTGAAAGATCACTTTTGGTGGTGTTACCATGTCGCTCGGGTATGCCCAGGCGATTGTGAGGACGTCACTTTGACCCAGCACAAGCCGGAGCAAGTTTGGAAGCCATAGATTGAAGGATGCACGATTGTGCCTGGAAAGCCTGGGTATTCAGAACTCGAATGAGTTCCAAAACATCTGCTGAGGGGTTTGCGGGCGGCTGTGCCTAGCAGTGATGGTTTTGTATTTTACCCAGTATCGAAGACAGGTGGACCTATGAAGCTCAACTTCTCCCATCCCCTCCCTCATCCCCTCAAGCTGCAGGAAACTGGAAATCGCCGCAAGGAACGGCAGGCGCAAAGAACGACTGGCGCCCAACTGCCCAACACCAAACGCGCCGTCGCGCCGTCGCCTGGCTCACCTCCGCCAGGATCTCCTCCACAACGTAAGGCCTGCGTCGCTAGACCGGGAAAGAACACGGGAGTCCTATGTGGCTGGGCTTGTCAGCGTGCCCACGTGCTCAATGCCAAGCATCCGCTTGGAAAAACCCCGCAAAAGTCAGAAGCAACAAAATAAGACCTGAGTAAGCAAGCACAAGAACACACATGTTGGGCAACCACGTGGTAACAGCTAAAATCTCGGGTGAATTTCAAACTCTCACCAAGTGAAGTGGCGGGCTACAAAGCCTTGCCCCATGCTGTCGACCAAAACGAAAGAACTCGGCCAGGTACAACAAACCTAGTCTGGCGGAGTCGGAATAATAAAAACGTACTTCAAATGAGTGATAGATTTCAGAACATTCATGGATGACTCTGTTCTACCCCGGTGAAGGTTGCATTAAGTTGCCCACGCACGATAGCCTTGGTCTTAGTGACCTTGCTGTCATTGCCAACTCCAGCCAAAATGGAACTAAACAAGTCCTTTAAACAAGTCATCAACAAACCTATGGGTGTGTCTTTTTGAGGGTACACTTTGGGGTGATCATGTACATATGTACATATATATATATATATATATTGGTATGTTATGAATAGATGCAATATATATATATATATATATGTCACTTCACTCATTTGTGTGTCTCTCCCAACCCTCCCACCCAACACACCTTTGATTCATCCATGGGGGATGCGCGACCTGGTGTGTTGGGCCTGCCCCTCCATCCATGGTCAGTGGATGGGGCAGGCCAACCAAATCGTTCCAGGGGAGAATTTCCCCCCTGGAAGTGAAAAAGATCGCCGGTGAAAACGGCCATGTGTTCTTCGTCAACCTGTCAGGGGGCGCAAAGGGGATGGTGGTGGGTACTCAAAACAGGCCTGAGCCTAAACACATGTGCCGTTTACGTGACGTTTCATGAGTGGCAAGCAACCCATTTCCACGTCACTTCACTCATTTGTGTGTCTCTCCCAACCCTCCCACCCAACACACCTTTGATTCATCCATGGGGGATGCGCGACCTGGTGTGTTGGGCCTGCCCCTCCATCCATGGTCAGTGGATGGGGCAGGCCAACCAAATCGTTCCAGGGGAGAATTTCCCCTTCCGCAGGGCGACCCTGGAACGCTTTCCTTAAATGGAGCCCGCTGCCACTACACCCGAGAGTGACAGCCTCCCTACGACTGACATGCCTCCTACCGCATGCCAGCTTGAGAGAAACCTCTCTCGTAACCTTCCACCTTTGTTTTGTTTTCTTTTCCCCCCTGCCTCACCATGGCTCCTTCCATCTCATCTCCGCCTTCTTGGGCTTCTTGGCCGAGTTCTTGTCGTGGTGCTCCTTGCCCTTCTTCCTCTTATCCTTCTCGAGCCTGATCTCCGAGTCCAGCTGAGTGGCCGCCTCCATGATCTTCGGAATAACTTTGAAGCCCAACTCGTCCAGCTCCAACCGCACCCTCAGGTCTGGGTTGAAGAGGGAGAAGTCCAGGTTGGTGAGCGCGTCCGCTTCTTCGTTCTGTTCCCGAGGTGTCCACCCGAGCTGAAGGGTTGTGCCCAACTCGCCCAGCTGAACTGCTAGCTCCATCAGCACCACCGAGAGAGGGAACGCCGTGCTCATGTAGTGATCGATGACGTGCGTGTTGACCAGGCTGTCGGTGAACCCTTGCACCACCCGAGTCTCTCCACTGCGATCCTGGCCCGAAGATGCAAACAGCTATGGTGGTCGCGATCAGCTCCAGGCTAGCTATCACGCGGAACGGCTCGCCTTTGACGTAGGCCCACGGGGCCGTTTTCCGTGTCAGTTTCAGCGAGAACCACCGGGCCTCCGCGGTGGCGCGACCTCCGAAGGACTCCCATCCTCCGACCACCACCAGATGTCCCTCCGCCTTGGCATCCACCCGAAAGAGTTCGCCCACCTTCTTCGGCAGTGGCCGTGGCTCCGTCAGAGGACGCCGAGTGATCTCCACTTTGATGAACTCCAGCACGATCTGCACCGCCATCGGCACCTGATGAAAACCTCCCGGCTGAAGCCTAGAGGTCCACGCGAAGATCACCCCCAGGAAGGGGCGTACCTGCACCAGCGCGCCCGCCACGAACGAAAGCCGTCCCAGCGCTGATCTCATCCGGCTGCCCAGGATGCTGCCCTCGTCCTTGACCTCCTTTATCCAGCCGAGAACCCACGCTACCTTGCTGTCCCCTATGCCCTTGAGGTAGTGCTGAATGTCGGCCTCGTAGCCGATCCAGCCCAGCCTGGCCCCTCCAGCCACCTTCTTCCAGGTGATCGGCACCTCCACCACGTCCATCACGAAGAACCAGTAGAGGATCCGCCTCCAGCAGTCCGCACCGTGGGCCCCAAGGAGCCCATCGTCATGATAGAGCTCGTAGGCTCCGGCCGACAGGTAGTGCGCCAACCTGGTGACTGCCGCGGCCACCCTCTGCCACCAGTAGGCTGCCGATCCGAAACCGAAGGCCCCCACCGTGTGCATGAAGACCTCTTCCGGCCTCTCCAAGCTAAAGGCCATGAGTGGCCAGTCCTGCTCCTTCACGGGCACCAACTTGTGTGCACGGCTGACATCGTACTTCATGAGCAACCTGACTGCCGGGTTCGCTGCATGGTCCGCCTTCATCTGCCTGACCATCGCCTCCAATCGGGAAGCTCATGCGGTCCCTCACCCGAATCCGGTGGTTGATCATCACCTCGTGGGTTGCGTGAATGATCCTCACCTTCGATGACCCCAGCTCCTTGGGGACCGCCCCCAGGGAGGCCACCGCTAGTCTGCCTCCGAACTTTTCCCCCGCCGCCTGCTTGTCCATCCGGATCACGTGGCCCCTCTCGATGTCTTCCTCCACCTGCCGCCGAATGTCCTCCATGTTGTCCACCGCCGAGCCGTAGTTCTCGCACCAGACCTCCTTGAAGGGGTCATCCACCTCTTCGAGATTCCACTTCACCTTGGCTTCGAAGACCGCAGGCACCCGGGGCATCTCTTCGTCCACACCCAGGTCCACCCCCGTTTCCACCAAGGGGATGAGGAACTGGTGATCGGGGTCCTCCGCAACTCTCAGCAGGGCCTCCATCCTCCTGTAGTGGATCTCCGTGATCCGATCGGTCCCCTGCCGAGTCACCTCGCTTCCCAGAGAGGCCAGCTTGACGTCCACCTCCCTCCGGCAGCCGTCCACAAATTTTTCGAACGGTGAGCCGGTGAGCCTGCCCGCCGCCATCTGCCAGAACGTCTCCTGGCCTCTCTCCTGGCTCAGCCAACCTTTGAAGAACTTCGTGATGATCTCCCTGATCTCGCAAAAGTGGGTGCCCTCGGGAAAGTTCCTGGCCCCCACTCTCCATCTTCCCGGCGAACAAAGTCCTCCTCCGTCGTGAACGCCCCTCTTCTTGCCTCTGTAGCAGGCCTGCATAGGCCTCCCTACTCCCCAAAATCCCTTCACCTCGAAGTCCTTTTCTCCACTGAACTTGCCCTCCTTGATGTCCCCGTCCGTCTCCTTCCCGACGTCCCACGCTACCTTGCCCTCCGGGGAGTCCTTGATCGTTGCCTTCTTGAGCGCCCCTCTCGACAAGCCCTTTTACCCCTTCCGCAGGGGGCTTGGTGAGATGTGGTGCCTTCAGCAGCACCTGATTGATAGCCGCTGCCAGGGCCGCATCCATATCTGCAGGGTAGGTCGATGCTGCCGGAGTCCGGAAGGCCTCCTCTGGGTGCTGCTTGGCCAGACCGTACTTGTGGATGTGACCGCAATGCCGCGGCAGCGGGCCCAAGTACCTTCCCTGGCCGTCCAGCTGGGGCCACTGGTTGTAGAGGAAACTGGCGTGCAGCGGTAGGTCCGTCAGCAAGCGCGTTGGCTTGGGGGTCGGGGCCCCCCAGTTGCACTGGTGCAGAGCGATGGATTGCATGCCCTCGAGCTTCTCCGCCGCGTTCCGGAGGTCTGGCAGCTTCCAAATGGATGCAGGCCGCACCCATTTGCCCTGGGCGACCGGGCTGTGTAGTCCGCCAAGGTCCTCCGGGTGCTCCCCCAGGAAGTAGGGTCGGCGAGCGATCAGGTTGCACCACGTAGTGCCCAACAACATCAGGATGTCGATGAACAATACGATCATGATGTTACCTTCATCCGCCCGCTTCTGCAGCTTCTCTGAGAGCCACGCCCCAAGGCCTTGTTTCGTCTCGTACTGGCTTGGGTCCGAAGTGGTTGGCCCAAGTCACGCGTGACCACGTGCCACAAGGAGGGGTGACAATGATCACCGCGTACTTGCCCCCCTTTATCTGCTCCAGGATACCCTGCCGCTTGCCCTTGTCCGTGAGGTCGTGGTCTGGGTTCCTGAGAATGTCCCAAGAGCACCTTAGCCCGCCTTCGAAGCCATCTCTTGCAGTTGGCTGCCCGTCGATGACTTCCTTTCCTCGCCGCTGAAGAGGTACAGCACGTTGAAGGTGCGCCCCGGCTCCTCTTGCCCAGCCGGGGCCACCTGTGGTCCTCAGTGTTCGTCCTTCCCCCCCTCGTTGGGGTTGGGACGACACAGATGCTGTGGGTGAGACCCCAGGCATTTGCGGCAGCAGTGCACGCGGTTGCATGGGCCCCGGCACCTCTCCTGTGGATTGTTGAACTTGTAGCAGATCTGCCTGCCGTCGGGTGTAGTGCTGTGCCATGCCCCCTCCTGCGCGTTGCCACCCTTGGACTTGCCGCTGGCCCCCTTTCCTTTGGGCTTCCCCTTGTTCCGTCCTTTCGAACAGTCCATTCGGGGCTCGCGCTCCCGGCCACGACTCCTTCTCCAGCTCCTTGACCTGCTCTTGGTGGTCACCCAGCTGTTGCACGCCAGCGGAGTGGTCAGGAAGCGCTCCTTCACCAGGGGTCCACCATGGCCTCCTCCAGAGAGTCCACCCAGCTGTGCCCCTTGTTGACCTTCTTGATGGCAGCCTTGCGGATCTGGTACTCGTAGGATAGCAGCAGCTCGAAGGAGGGCTGCGCCATGCTGCGGCCCTTTTCGTCCTTGGCCCTTAGACCGAAGACGTGCTCCCCCAGCAGGTGGTTGGCGTAGCGACTGAAGATGTTGGGCGTGATCCGCTGGAATGCCGCCTTGTTCGGGTAGCGGAACGCGCACATCAGGATGGCGTTGGCCACGAGATCCAACCTTACCCGCAGCCCTTCCGGCCCTGATGGCCGCGAGTTCTGAACCGCCCCCTTCTTCACCTTGATCGTGCCCGTGCTGTGGTCGATGACCGCTCCGACTGGTGCCACATCCGCGTCCTCCCTGCTGACGAACTCGGTGAGGTGCATGAACCGCCACTCGCCCTGCTCGATCTGGTCGAACAGGTTCTCGAGGGTGCCGGGCGCCGGTGTGACCCTGTCCTCCATTTTCTGGTATGTGTCCTCGTACTTGGACCGCAGCGCCGCATGCTCTGTTCGCGAGACCACTTTGGGCATGCTGGACACGGTGGCCTCGGCCTCGACCTTGTTGCGCGTTTCCACCCGCACCCTTGCTGCTTCCCATGCATCGACCACCGCTGCAATGTTCACGTCCCCGCCGGCCGCATCTGGGTCGATGTTGAGTGTCCTCCGGCAGAAATCCCGGATACCGCCCCGGTCGTCAGCCAGCACCGCAAACCGGCCGACTGTCCTTACCCTTGCTGCTGCCAACGCCACCTGCACATCTGGCGGCACCTCCTTGATGTCCAGCAGGCCACCGAAGTCGGGGTCCAAGGTCCCGATGGCTGCCCGCTGCGCCGCATCCAGCACAACCGCGCCGGCCATGACCCCCTTTTCCTTTTCCGGCTCTAGCCGAAAGGTAGCAGCATCCATGCTGGTACCAACTGATCCCCGTGGCTCCCCCTGTCCCGGCCCTTGCTAACAGATCTCAATCAAGAGCCGCTCTTGCATGCAGCCCAACAGCGCTGCATGCTACTATCCCTTCGACCCGACCTCCCTGACGCATGAAAGCTTGCCTGATCCCTCATGCGCCTGCAAGTGAAGTTGTGCATCAACCTCACCCTTCCTGCCCCCTCCCTTTCCCAAACTGTCGGCCCCGCGCCTGTCCTTTTCCTGCCGACCCCTTTTGGTTTGGGTGGATCTGAAAAAGGGGGGGTGAAACAGGCTAGTCCAGCGACTCCGTGGATGCTGAGATCGAGGAAGACACCTCGCTGTCCTCGGTGGCCCCCGACTCGTCACCCGCCTCGACACCCCGAGGGAAGCACTCCTTGCACACCCGGTGGTACATGCCCTCCGGGGGTAGGTCCTCCCCCAAGTCCTCAAACCGCTTGTAGTGCACCCCCGGGACACGATGACACTCTCCCCCACGGTGGAGTGTCCTCCTCTGCGATCTCCCCACCAGACTCACGAAGTATCGGCTCTTGTAACCCTCCGGCGTCCGATCTGGCTCGCTGGCGGTCTCTTCGTTCTTGCTCGCCTCGTCGCCGTCCTCCACCTCGACGATCTCCAGCGGATCCTTCTCCGAAGCCTGCCAGCTGTCCTTCCCGAGGATGCTCGCGAAGATGCCCCCCTGGAAGCTTGTCAGCCGCAGCTTCTGGTCCTCCACATCGTTGGCGTCCATCTCTTGCCTCGCCAGCTTCTCCACAACCTTCTCCAAGACGGACTCCTCGTCCAGCTTGTCGGGGCCCCCCAAGTTGTTCCGAATCTCCTCGGCCATCATCTTCTGCGCCTTCTCCACGTTGCCCCTGATGGACCTGACGTAGGCCTCATCAGTGGAGGGCTGCCATCTGCCAAGTTGCTTGGCCACATAGTCGTCGACTCCCAGCGAGGCCGCCCAAGACCTCAAGGTTGCTCTTTCGGAGTGCTCCGACCAAACAGTACCCGCGCCCTGGCAGAGCAGAATCCCTCCAGGCCGTCCGACCCCCTCTAGCTCATCCTGCTTCCGCTGGCTCATCACAAGCTCGCCCAGCAAGGCCTGACTCATCTGCGACGCGTGGTAGTACTTGCCCATGGCACCGATGAGGCCGGTGCCCTCGTAGTTGGGCAAGGCCAGCATGAAGTCCCGATTGAACAAGCCTGCCTCCTCGCTCATGGTCTTCCACAGCTGGTAGCCGACCCCAAGCCACCTGGGCTCCTCCAGCCATGCCTCCACCGAGATGAAGACGTGCTGGATCTCGACCTTCTTCCCCGCTCCGGTGGTCTTGGTCCTTTCCAGAACACCCCGAAGACCGCGGCCACTCATCTCCAGCTTGCCGAAGGGCATTCCCTGCGTATCCGAGAAGCGCAGCGCCCCCCAGAGCTTCACCAACCGAACCAGGCATAGGCCCGGGGGTATCTAGGCACCCCCTCCGTCATCACGTATCTCTCCATGGCCATGATGATCTCTACCGGGATCTGCACAGCCTGCCGCCGGCCTCGCAAATCCAAGCTGCCCAGCTCCAGGTTGACCTCCTCCAGGGTGTTCTGCAACGCAGGGTGCTTGCAGAACCTTTCCTTCTCCGGCACCTCCCCAGCCACCTCGATGAACATGAGGGTCTTCATCAAACTTGTGGGGATACTCTTGCCGCACGGCTCGGCCACCCGATGCATGATGTACTCGATGAACTGCTCGATGGTCCGCGGCCATGGCACATTGAAAGTGCTGTACAGCCACGTGGCAACATGCCGCCAGGTCTTGACGTGCTTCCGCAAAGTGGTGGATCTCCTCCCTTTCCCGATCCTGTGCCAGGCCGTCCCATCTGGGTCCGCGTTCCACTGTCCACCCCTCCGCAGCTGGCAGCTCCGACTCCACGATGATCCTCTTGAGCATCACCGTCCACCTCGTCCTCTCCGATCTCTCGGCCCGATCTCGCAGGTCCATGTTGTCTCCAGCTCGCCCCACCAACCTGCTGAGCCGGCAGGGCCAGCGTGCCAAGGGAGCTTTGCCCTTCCTGCAAGGCGGCGCCTCAAGCCACGACCTCCGCCACCATCTCCCGCCGGAAGATCCTGGCCCGCTTGAAGCCAGCCGCCACCCAGTCCAACCCGCCTGACCGGCCTTCCACCCCCCACTGGATCCTGCCGGTGCTCCCGCACTCCTTGACCTTCTGGAAGAACTCCTCCAGCTCCTCCGCCGTGGCTTCACGCCCGAATGCCTTCTCCAGGAGCTCGCGAAGGCCCCTCTTCGGCAGGTCGTCCAGTGTTGCGAGCCTGGCCGTGGTCCAGCCGCAAGCCGCCAGCCTGGACCACGGCTCAGGCCACTCCATCGCCGCGAGAGTGCCCCCCTCTACTCAAAACAGGCCTGAGCCTAAACACATGTGCCGTTTACGTGACGTTTCATGAGTGGCAAGCAACCCATTTCCACATTATAGATACAGATAGAGAGGCGCCTTTGATTGTCTTTATGTCTTTGCGCATTTATCATCGCTTTTGCCATCCGACAAGTTCGGACAATCTGTCTGGGCCAGACTTCGGCCCTAGAACAAGCTGAAGTTTTTGGCGGGTTTCGCGAGGAGAAAACCCCGAGGGGCAAAATGCCAACAGATGCAAGAGTTGTGACCCTGGTAGAAGAAGGTGGAAGTCTTTTGGGTGACCATTATTAGGGAAGACACCAAACACAAAGGCTGGGTCCTCCAGTAGAACGGAACCCTCCCAACCAAAAAGGGGTGAGAAAGGGTACCTAGCTGGGGGACCCAGAAGGGAAAAAGAGTTGGTGCCACTGAAGTCACTGCTCTGGGGCCGTGGCAAGAGCTCAATTCCGAACGGCCGCACCGAGTCTGCCAGGGCTTGGCCAGTCATGCGGCCACCCACCTGGCGTGGATATTATAGCTTTCGGAAGATTCCCCAGGTGAAAATGATTGACAGTGTGAACATAAGGGTGTGGCAAGTTGGAAGTTGTTCATGTGACGATGTCAAGCTTGGGGATTCAATGGTTACTGTTGGATGGTTTGTAGCTGGGACAATTGCTACATATCAACATCACGTCAAAGCGGGGCTGACTTAAGAAGTTCCTGAACAATGATTGGCATGATTGGAAACATGTGTAACAGGAATAAGGTGATCTTTGACTTTGAATGGAACTGAAGTTCCTGGCGGAGCTTCGGAGCATGCACAAACATGGCTGGTGAAACAAGCGACTACTCCAACTGCTGCCAAACGCCTCAGAAGGTTTGGCAGCCTTTTGCCACCTTTTTCAAAACATCGTAACAACGGTGCCTGGATGCCGCTGGATGCAAAACGTGCGACATTTCCAATGAGCTCGTGGCCGGCGTGTAGGGACGAAGATGCTGCACCAAGTTGAGTGACAAAAACAAGTGTCCTATTTTTGTTGGGGAACCCACCAATCAAAAGGCAGAACGGAGAAGTGTGCCCGCGAACAACTGGGATCAGCCCTAAGAAATGTAGTGGATGTAGTGGGGCTTCAAAACCATAGTTTGTCATGACCATAAGCGAATCATGTGCAATTCTCTAGCCCCCATACTATATGTGTGCTTCTCAAGTTGCATGTGCTTGCTCCCGTGTGTGCTTGAACCAGCGCTGCACTTCTGCGGCTGCCTTCCGACACGAATGCTAACATTGGAGGTCACTGCTTTTGAGGGTGAACACCTGAAGGACCCCCCATCCCCACCACACCGGAGGGTGCCTCATGGTTGAGACAAGTCCAAACGAGGACTCCCACCAAATCCTGGGCCGCGAGCCTCGTATTTGGCAAATGCCTCTGCGCATGAGGTGTGATGCCGCGCTGCCTCGGGACAACCGAGCCGAGAGGATTCCCAGCCAGCCAAACACCATGGCAAGTCGAAACAGGAGTCCTTCGATACTTGCAGTTTCTTGGTTGTGCTACATAGCATTTGTTGGGGGTGCACGCCCCCGCCAAACTTGGATTTCGCTAAGCTGGTGACATCCAGAACTTGTCAAAGCAGGCAGCCATGATAGTTTGTGTGTTTTCGTTGTCCAATCTTGGCTGCCTCGGATCCTCGCCGAGCATCTCGCAATAGACAAACGGACAAACGGCCACCTGCCCGGCCCGTGTGCTCTTCGGCTGATGGGGGCGGCCGCAAAAGGCCGCCAAGTCACAAAACCTGTTGGACAGCCAAACTTGGCACGGACTACTTTGCTGCACGAAATGCGATTGCAGCCGCAACAGCAAATCGACAAAGCTCTGGTGTATCACATCCTCTTCACTGCACCGCATCATTGAAAAGTGCAGCCTGGGACAATACATTCACACACGCCATGGACAAGTTGCAATGACACAGGTGCCGAACCCATGGCAGCAACACATGGGTGGGTGGCCTCATTGCGTCAAAGGCAGCTCCCGAATTAGCCCCAGACCAAGGTGGTCCGGTGTCCCGGTTGCGAGACAAGCTTGGCCTATAGCGGCAAGCCTACAAACGGAATCCTACGAGTTTAGGTCCTGTTAGGGGGGGACAAATTCTAGCAAGGCACTCCCCTACAAACTAACGCCCTAAAACACATCGCATCTGGGTGAATCTCCTTTGGCACAACGGAACCTCGTTTTTGGGCTCCATGTTGATTTGCAGTAGTCAAAAAAAGGGGCCCTCAGCTCAAGCCTCAGCTGAGGTCTCCACATATTGGTTCACAAAGTTGCTGTACTCGTTCACCTGGACGGTGTTGAAGCTGGTGATGCCCTCAGCTCGAATAGATCGGATCGCGCAAAACTGGGAAAAAATGATGTTGTTTTATCTCTCTTGCCAATTATGTCCCTTCCCACTCCAGATCAAGGCGTTGGGGCTTCTTGTTCACCTGCAGGGGTGCAACCTACCATGAAAAGCAAGCGGTTTGACTGATGCTGTCAGATAGATGTTTGTTGCTTTAATATGTTTCCATGGAAAAAAAGAGAATGACTACTGACGTTCCCTCTGGCATGATGTAAACGGAGAAGCCTATTATTACACAATCAATTGTCATATCCGGAGGCCGTAGCCGTAGCAGCCGTGGAACATGCGCAATTCGTCTGACCGTGGGCAAATCCCACAGTCCACCTTCCCTGACTTGACTCAGTTTGGAGCAATCCACAAGTAATGCAGGCCCCTCAAAGATTCAACAAGGAAGGAACCAAACAAACAAAGAAAAAAAACAACGATGGGAAGGAATGACCAGGAACCGATCCGGAACAGAAACCACCCAACCCAAAGGCCAGTATGGCAATACTGGCTGACAAAGGAACAACAACAGATTGCAGCTTGTCGCTGAGAGCCTGAAACTGGTACCCAAGCACCAAACAAGCTCGACAGCCAAGGGCCTCCTCGGAAACACACATAGCTGAGAGCATCCAGTTGAATTTGTCGCGCATGGCCAAGTAAAGAAACTCAACAACGGCTTGGACAGAGTTTGTTTGCATGGACCGGTCTTCGCAGTGGGACGCCGCTGAAACCTGCCTCCTGTGCTTTTCTTTTCTCAAGCTTTCCCCTCCTCTGTTGGTCTAGCGGCTCGAAGGATCTCAGTGACCCAGTCGTCATTGGGATGCATGTAGCCAAGCCTGAGCTCTGGGAGCCAACGGGACACTACCATAATGGAAGGCTTGGTGCAAATGAATGCCTTGCTCATGGAAAGTGCCTCATGGGTCTCCTGAAGGGGTTCAACATCCAGCAAGCAAAGGTGGTGAATTGTCAGCATCCAGCACATCACCTACACCTGCAACAACGGAGGTCGGCAGTCACCTACTGCAGTCAGCAATATCAAACAGCTCGTCAAGAACTGGGAACAGTGGGAAAATCTGTTCAACACATCGCACGCTAGCCACCAAACCCGAACTGACAAAGGGTGCAGAACTGACTTGGGATGCTCTGCCGGCTTTCTCGGGATGCTCTCGGGCTTGTCTCTTTTTTGTTTTATGTTGTCGTGAAACAAACAGCCAACCAACCAAACGACCACCAAACCAACCAACCAAACGAGTAAAAAAAACTAGAGGACGATTGGCCCGAAAGCATTTTTCCACAGGTGCTCATCCAGCTGCGGAGACACCTTTTTACATAGCTGCGGCGAGCGTGTCTGCGCGCGGCGATGCTCAGTGTGTATGGTCACATGAGAGCTCCATCTCATCATCCTACTTTCCTCTCGAACTGCGCCGCGCGATTTCTCACGAAAGTGGTCTGCGCAAGCTTCATTGTTCCAGGCTGCTGCGCGCAAGTTGCTCTCTGCAAGCTGCTGCGCGCAAGTGCTCTGTGCAAGTTGCTCTGCGCAAGTGCTCTGAGCAAGTTGCTCTGCGCCAGTTGCTCCGCGCAAGCTCTTTGCGCATGTGCTCTGCGCAAGTTGGTCTGTGCAAGTTGCTCTGCGCCTGCTCTGCGCAAGTTGCTCTGCGCAAGTGCTCTGAGCAAGTTGCTCTGCGCAAGGGCTCTGCGCCAGTAGCTCCGTGCAAGCGCTTTGCGCATGTGCTCTGTGCAAGTTGGTTTGTGCAAGCTGCTCTGCGCAAGTGCTTTGTGCAATTGCTCTGTGCAAGTTGCTCTGCGCAAGTTGCTCTGCGCAAGTGACTCTGCGCAAGTTGCTCTGCGCAAGTGCTGCCGGAGCTGCGGGGGTGTGCTCCGCGTACTACGTTTGTACTTAAAAGTTGCGATTTTCCAGCCTGAGCTGCGGGAGCACGCTCCGCACACTACGTCTGTACTTCAAAGTTACGATTTTCCAGCCGGAGCTGCAGGAGCACGCTCCGCGTACTACGTTTGTACTTAAAAGCTGCGATTTTCCACCCGGAGCTGCAGGAGCACGCTCCGCGTACTACGTTTGTACTTAAAAGTTGCGATTTTCAAGCCGGAGCTGCGGGGGTGTGCTCCGCGTACTACGTTTGCACTTAAAAGTTGCGATTTTCCAGCCTGAGCTGCGGGAGCACGCTCCGCACACTACGTCTGCACTTAAAAGTTACGATTTTCCAGCCGGAGCTGCAGGAGCACGCTCCGCGTACGTTTGTACTTAAAAGCTGCGATTTTCAAGCTGGAGCTGCCGCGGACCAGGGGGAAATCGAACCCGCGACCGCGGGATTGCGAAAGCAGGCGCGCAAACCACGAGACAACTTCCAAAGGCCGTTTCGCGAGCAAGAATATTGCACGGCGCCACAGCGAGAGCGCTTCGACACGCACAAAAACGCACGGCGCCACAGCGAGAGCGCTTCGACGCGCACGATCTCCGCAGAGGGTCGCGCGCGCACCGCAGAAATCGTAAAAAGTCCTCAGTTTTTGAACCTCGACCACGCGAATCTCTGCAGAGGGTCGCGCGCGGCCAGCAGAAATCGTAAAAAGTCCTTAGTTTTTGA